CAGTGATGTTTGATCTATTCTTTTTTCATTTTTTCCCTTTGCCATGCTTGAAAACAGAGCATGCTGCTTAAATGAGGAGAAAATCTCTGTAGAATCCATCCCCCCTGCAATTGAGAAATGAAGCTTATTTTTAAAGCATTTGAAACTTAGTTTTAAAATAACGTAGTCTGGTTTTAGAAAAAGAAAAGCTTGCTATTCCCAGTGGGCTAACCTAAGGTTTTCTTCTGCTACCGTGAATCTTTGTGGCTTTTGTTTGCGTGCATAACTGCTAATTTGGGGAGAAAGAAGTATCCATGTGTATGGATGCTGGTGACAATGCCTAGATGAAAGGTATTTAATAATATGATCAAAGGATAACTTAACTTACAACACACTTGAATTGTAATCTTAGTGTCCTTCTGAAGCATGTATTAATCCTCTAAAGATATTTAAGTGGTTTTGGTTCCTGCTTTTTTTCTTCCCTGATGGTTCTTCTGCTTTTTTCATCTTATCTCCCTTCTATCTTTAAAGAAGTTCTTCATGCTGTTTTTTACAGAAAAATAACCTGGCAGTCCCCACTGCACAGCTCCCACATGACTTCAGAAGCACTGTAGCAGCAATACAGTCTGATTCAGACTTTTGCTCTGCCTCTCCATTAGAGCAGAGTCAAAGGCAAAGGAGAATCTTTCTGCAGTCTTTAAAAGCAGTTATGTTAAAGGTGTTCGTTCATTCTTTTGTCTTTTTAAGAACCAATAGACATTAAATTTTGCCTTCAGGGAAAGGGGACTGGTATAATAACCAACTCTGTATAACATTTAAAAAGTTCATCTCTTCCCAGAAAACCAACATGAATTGGTTTACTATGAATTGAATAGAAAGTGCTTTGACTAGGGTAATCCTTCAAAAGGAGTACTCAGAATTTAATGGTGTTTGAAAATCAAATTATTGCAAGTTTTCTTACTGCTTGGGCTGTCTGTTTCAGAGCCTTTTCTCAAAACTCACTCTAAATGCATCACCTGTGGTAGATTTAACCTCATGTAGAGTTCCCCTAAGATAATTACATGTGTTTGCACAAACATGTATTGTGTTCTGTAAGAACTTACTAGGTCAAGTTATGTATTCTAGTTTTCAAGGGTGAATATTTGTGAAATATTCTTCTGTGTAAACAAGTTTCAGTTGTGTACCTTTTTTAAAAAAAAAAAAATAAATCCCTGAACCCTACAATGTAAAATCAGAAAAAGCCTGCTCATAGAGAAAAGAAAGGGAAAGGTAAAACCATGAACTTTTCTAAAATCCAGTGATACATGGTCTCTGAGGCTAAAAGGTGAAGTAAATGATGTGTATTTGTCATGCAATTTAGTATTTTTGCACCTGAGCTGTAGCTCTTGAATACTTGTTACTGACTTTTTTTGCCACTCTGTGATTAAAAGAACCCCACAAAACCCTTCACAAGCCACTGGCAAAGGAGGAAGTGGAGTGTGCTTTTCCCCTTCTACTCTGCTCTATCCTCCTGGTAGTGAAAGATGACAAAGCTAAATAAATCAGCAGGAGATACTGTAGAGCTGGACTGAACTTATTTGGTAGCCTCAGGTATTGACAGGTAGCAAGGACAGCACAGAGGCAGAGCCTTTTACCACATGTTCTCCAACAAGAGCAAGAGTTGGATGCCTGTGCTTTCCTGTGTTTGGACAAGAGATATGTAGTTAGCTGTATGAAAGGCTAAACATTACCATTCCAAGTTACCAGAGGGCTTTCTGTTCAAGAGAGTCAGGGCAGCACTTGATGCATGGCCCCCCTTCCCTGCAGAAAGGTATTTGCACTGCTGTGCTAGTATACAGATCTGTTTTCTTTCTTTTTTCTAGACTAGGTTAAATACTGGATATAGTGGCAGACTCCAAAATGTATTATGTACTATCAATGAAATAAAGTCTTCATCCATGATAATTTATTACATGAGCAGTTTTGACATGTATTTCTGAGAACTTGAACATAACACTTAATGTCTCTGCCACCAGTGCCAGGATCAGACCTGATAGTCTTCTGCACACCCTGTTTTCCTCTCTTGAAGCAAATGTCTTCTCTGTAATCCAGGTCACTGAGTCACCCAGCCAACTGCTCACTTGATTTCCTAAAAGCTTCAAACATGAGAATTCAAATTACAGCAAAGCAGCTGGAGTATAATAAACAAATGAATTCCAGCTAAACATAAGTCAATGATTCAAAGAAATGATGTTTAAGATTCTTTTAATCCATCCATTATAACACCTTCTGGAAATGCATAATGAAATAGTATGGCATAAGAAGAAGAAAAACATACACCAGGAGTATATAATTCTATGACTCTGAAAGATACCACTGAAATCCTCAGTGGAATACAATAAAAGCTAATGACCTCTTTTGTTAGTCTTTGTTCTGTTTCAGGGTATTTTCCCCCTTTCTGTACTGTTAAGACTGCTGGAGAGTCAAGAACTAAAAACTTCAGCAGGGAGGTTAAAACTTGGACCTTAGTTCTCCAAAAAGTGCACCATTATTACAGCCATTCAAGACCAGAGATAGTCTGTTACTGTGTAGAGTGCCCACTTCATGGTCAATGCCTAAAGACCATGCTTCAGTGAGTGTACAACTACATAAATACATGTGAGAACACAGTATAAACCATATTATAGTTTACACTAATGGTAAATAATGCTGACCCTGGTCAGTAAAATAGACTCAGAGAATTTAATTTGAAATTTAATTCAAACTATGTAAGATACTATGGCTTACAAACTATGCTGAGAACTGAATACCAGAATTTTAAAAAGGTGTTTGAATGAACTGCATGAACACTAAGGCAACCCCTCTTGATGACCTAAGGATTATACATGTGAGAGAGAGAGTTTCCAGATGATGGAAATGCTTCCTCTAGGCCCTCCTGTCGTAGGCAGTGCCCTAGCATACCTACATGCAGGACTTGGCCTCTCTGGGAACACAAGGGTTGCTATAATTTAAAAAAATCTCACTTCAGGTCACACACTTCAATACAGTGTTACACGTATAGCAAATTGTACAGGAAATAAGTAAGTTGAAATTATTCAATTTTATCCTTTTCATTTGCAAAACAGTCCCAAATCAAGAAAATACAGCATATTTACACATAGCTGATATATACAAAGCATTATTGTATTTACACATTTTATGAATACAGACTAATACTTCATTATTGGGGGACAAAACATCCATACTAAAAATACTGAAAAATACCTGAATATGAAACATCATGATTACTATATTAATTGCCAACTGACTGCCCTTTTTTATACATGTATATATATGTGTGTATACACTCTCTCTCACTTTATGTTTGTGTATGGTTAAAAAAAAAAAAAAAAGCATCCTTGCACTGAATTACTGTCTGTGCCTATACACAGTGTATAATTTGTTACACTATTTTGTTCTTTATGCATGCTCAGTCCCATGCTTAAGATAAAATGCGTATTTACCACTGGTCCCTGAAGAAGCACGATACATAAATAAGTATATACAGACTTGAACTATTTCATGTTTGACTTAAATGCTAGCTTCAACCAATACTACAGGGATCCGAGGAGTACAGTCTAGCTTTTGTCTTCTCTTTGCCCTAAATAAGTATAGTTGATTGAGCTACCACCTCAGTATATGTGCTGTGGAATTCTTAAGGATTTGCAGTGCTGAGACTTCAGACTAATAATTTACTGATTTGTTTGAAAACCTGTCCTTCCAGCCACCAAATAGCCAACTGTCTTGAATTTTCTTTAATTTTACTTACTGCTTCTCCTTCTATCCTTTTAGCGTCAGGTTTTTCATACATGACAAGCGTAACAGCCATCCTCATCTTCCCTCCCCAGTCTCTTCTCTGGAGCAGGGCAGCCCCTACAGGTTCCGTGGTTCCTAAGGCTACATTTTCTGGACTGCTGATTGTTCTTTTCCCTCCAGCTGGTCCATCTCTTTCTTGAAACAAGGGACTGAAAGCTTAGCACACTAAATTACATGTTGGTGATGCGTTAGGAATTGTTCCTATGGTGTCTAGTATCTTACAGGCTCTACACTTAGGTGTATAACTCCAGCAGGGCATAAGAGGAGAGGGAGAAGTAACCGTCTCTAACATTCAGCTTGTTACCTGCAATGATGCCAGTCAGTTCAGCAGAAAGTTATATCCACATTGAGTATTTGGGTAGTGGATTATTCCTGCTTAAGCATACTAGCCTCCTTTGTCACTCCACAAGACTCTAGTTGTTTGGGTTTTTCTTCTGGCCCCTTTTCCAAATTGTTCAGAATTTTAACTCTAAATTTGCCCACCAACATATCCCTGCAGTCTGAGCTTTAGTACATTGTCTTCATGTTTGGCCTCTTTGTTCTGTCAAGATCATCTATAAAGATACTAGTGTGTCAGATCCAGAACAGCCCATTGTAAAAATCTTACTCAATACAGCCTTCTCTTTTAAAAGGGATACTATTAACTACTCTCAAACTGTATTTTATAGACTTTTTTCGTATCTATCTGCCCCATAACAATTCAGCTAGACCACTCTGCCATCATTCTTACCAGCACAGTTGGAAATACCTGCCAAATAAACAAAAAATAGTTTGAATTTTAGCATCACCAGAGAATGCCTGCTCTGCTGCAGCCCTCCAGTCATTCACAAAGTTGAAAGGGGTCTTAAAGATAAAGGAAGGAACTTTTTATGAATTGGAGGGAGAGAAGGAAAATGTTGGAAAAAGAGGATTTTCATGCCCCACCAAATGAAAAGTAATAATGATACACTAAAAATACAACCCAAGCAGCATATTACTCAAATTGTTCACAAACGAATCACTATAAGACAAGTTACAAGTGGAAGTTCTATTCAGGCATGTTCTACAGTATCTGAAAAAGCATCAAATGGAATTTTTCAATGGTAATTGAATTTATCGAATAACCTCAATATTACTAATATTTTTTAAAAATTGCATGTAACTTTATTACTAACAAAATATAAGACATACAATACGACTGGGGTGTTGCTTCTCTAATCAATTCCTATCTAATCATGTCTTCCAACAGCTGTCTGTTGTGCCAAATCCACTGGAATTAGGTGCAGGAATAACAACTCCTTGTTTCTGCAGTTCACGTAAAACATCTAATATTGAATCCAATTCCACTCGGAATTTCTCCAGTTCTTGATTCTTCTGTTGTGCCAGTCTTCGCCACTTCTCAACCTCATGGGTTTGCCTTGCTTCAGTAATACATTGTGTTAGTTGGGTTGCCTGCAAATTAGAAGCAAATCAGCCTTGTGACTTCCTAGTCAAATACTCAGCCAACGCTGCCCCTTTGCAAAAATACACCATTATGTTTGATGCTCGGTCTCAAAGCCCAAGGCTCATGTTAAGTGGAAACAATTTGTTCTGAATATTACAAAAATCATTCTGATAGCAATGAATTCCTTTAAATAGTTGCATTAATGACAGAAGGGTAGAATCCATCACTGACTAATGAGCCTCAGGAGAATTTAACAGCAATTAAAAGTTTGATTATTTAAGACAGAGCTCAGCATATAACAAACCCCTCTATAATCAAAATGAACCTTTTGAATTGCCATTTAAATGTGTTTAAAGAACATTCTGCAAGGAAAACAAATCAAATCTGAATGACATGTTCTGGGCTACTACTGTATTTTTAAAAACCGCAAGTTCTATGAACTATCAGAAAATATCCTGTAGTCACAAAGGTCTGAAGCTGCTGCAGACAGAAGTTTGAATTAATTTTGACATGAATCCATGGCATAATCCTCTTAGATTACCCAAAAGAAAAGGTGTCACAAGGTATCAAAATCACCACACCACTATTAATTGTAATAGAATCTTTAAGGAAAGCTCTATCACTTAAAAGCCATAATTACTGTATTTGTAGTTTGATACTAAGGATAACCTGTTACTTCCTTGTTCAGCAATTAAGTTTTTCTACTTTGTTCATTTCATTATCATTCATTTGGGGGACTGCTCAGTGCCTCACTGCAGATAATTAAAGGTGGAACACTAGTACAAACAAAACCCAAAGTTTAATACATAACAAGGCTAGTAGCACCAGGAAAGATGAAATTACTTAGCAGGAATTGTTGCATATACTATTACTTCTAGTATTTTTTTTTTAATATATTACAAAACATCTTAGTAAATACTATAGGTCAGGTAATGAATTTAGTGGAGATAGATCATAGACTAGGCAGCAGCAGACACTTTACAGAAATGGTAAAATTCTCATACTATACAAAAGCAAATATTACGGTTGCCTTTAGCAGGACAGAAAGTGAACAAAAATAATAATCATCACTAGTGGCAGGGTTTGTTCTTAATCCAGTGACTTGTTTTATGCACAGCTCTTTTGAGGAGGAAAATTAAATATCTGATGTAGAAATGTATGAGAATAAAACCTTCTACCATGAACAATTCTGTACATAAAAGTGTATTCCTTGAGATCTGGTTTCAAAACTGTAGAACAAACTCCACAAACAAAGAACTGCTACAGGTTTGATGATCTTCCAGTGCAACTGCCCTTCTCTGACTTCATATATTTATGTAAAACCTAAGTTAAAACACTAATGAAAGACAGTCATATGTTTAAGTGATGAAAGCATGAGAACAAAATCTATATGAACTAGAAAACTGTTTCCAGATGATAGAAGCTCCCCTGATAGATGAAAAATCAGGATGGAGGCCGTGATATATAAGATGAAAAAAATCAGTGCAAAATTGTTTTACAAGGGATACAACTGTCAGATACAAGAAGCTGTATCACAAATATCCAACCTTCAAAATCCAAAATTTTTAGTTTGTGGAGGATAAAGCCTTTTTTTTTGTTGTTGTTTGGGTATTAAAACCACTATGTGGTAGACTGCTACAAGACATTTCTATATTTTTAATGCAGCTTTTCTGAATGGGACTTCTAGAAAATAAAATTACAGTTCAGTTGAGGAATATCTCATAGCTTAACAAGCTCTGCATTACAAACTCTTGTCAATTTTTCAATAGCCAGCTTTCATTGTGTAGAATCATAGAATCATTTAGGTTGGAGTCCAGCTGTCAACCCAACACCACCATGCTCACTAAACCATGTCCTGAAGTACCACATCTACATGTTTTCTGAACACCTCCAGGGATGGTGACTCCACCACTTCCCTGGGCAGCCTGTTCCAATGCCTGACAACCCTATCAGTAAAGAAATTTTTCCTAATATCCAGTCTAAACCTCCCCTGGCATGACTTGAGGCCATTTCCTCTTGTCCTATTGCTTGCTACTTGACAGAAGAGACCAGCACCCACTTCACTACAACCCCCTTTCAGGTAGTTGTAGGGAGCGATAATGTCTCCCCTCAGCCTCCTTTTCTCCAGTGTAATTGAAATATGAAATAACCGAATGACAAGGGACTTCCAGAGGTCATGTGGTCCAACACTCTGCAAAAGCAAGGCCTCCTTAGATCAGGTTGCAAGGAAGTTACGCACTTGATACACGAGTCATACGCAAGTAATCTTAATTACCGCAGCAAGGACATGCTGACTAGGACTGCAACTACGTTCACTTGCATCAGCAGGCACCAAAGACAAAACCATGGCTGTATCAAAGAAGTACTTGCCCCCCTGCAGTGTGAGCTAAATGAGCCTGTGCAAATACCATAAAATTACAGTTAAACCAATAAATTGCTTTTAAGAAGTAAATGCAGATGTATTCTGGTTTACCTTTTGAATTTCTTGCTGTCTTTCTGCATATCTGGTCTCTATATGCTTGATTTTCTTTTCCAGGCACAAAAAATGTTTCATTTCAGGACTCTGGCTCTCCTTAGCCTCTCTCAGTTCTTCCAACAATTTCGTCACCTACAGTTAGAGAGAATTGATGAAAATTGTTGTCATTGCATTAAGCAGTGTATAAAACAGATTCATTTCAAAGTGTATTTGTTTTGTTTAATCATTCTATTCAAAAGCTGCAGAAAGGAAGACATTAAAGGGAAATCTCCTTTATTCAAAAGCTTAAACAGGGGCTCAGGGACTTAGATTAGGATCTTTCATTTGTAAGAATTGGCCTGAGCATGTGAAAATCTAGTTCTTTTTGATAAATCCAATCCTGTTCATAATATGTTATGAAGTGATTATTCACAGTCAATTTTTATACTTCTAAATGTACTAAAAAATTAATAGAGAATATTATGATTAGATGTTCTTATACAATCCCTTCTCACTCCTTGGATAAAGATCAAATATAAAATGTACCAGTGTATTTCTAAGGAATAAATTAAGAAAAGACATGCTGCTAACACACATGATTACAAACCCCCTTTGGTCTAATAACTGCCAGGTCAAACCAACTCTACCAATGACTGACTTACAACTGATTTCCTAATCCTCCAGAAATTCAGGTAAGTTTTCTTATAAAGCCCTACTGATTTATTCTCATTCTTTGCCTATTTTAAGTAACTTGATATTTCTTCATTTAACATCTTAAGTCTTTTTTTGGTCACTTTCTTAATGTGTATAAGTAAACTAAAGTGAAAGCTTTGAAGTCTTAATCATTTATTATAACCCTTAGTTCCCCTTACCCAATATATTTGAGAACTGCTAACCCTCTTCAAGCACTCAGCCATCCCTGGCTCTCTGCTGCTGAATTTAAGTAGATGGAAGCATTGTGTCCTCATAAGATGTTGTCACTCTTACTGAGAAGTGACTCCAAGATGGCTTACTATTAATTTTCATTTTTTAACATGGTCTTCTAAAACAGTGAGGCCTACGTTACTACACTTTTGCCTGTCCATAGCTCCAGCAGCTTTGAACCTGTGGGCCGCTTTCAGCCCCATTTGTCAGAGGAGCAGAAGTCTTGGTTGTGTAAGGTCTGTGAAACTGAGCGTCCGCTGCTTGGCTGCAAAGTTGTCCCACTGAAGGGAAGGGCTGATGCATGATCTCAAGTACATAATGAAACACCTGAAACATTCATGAAGGAAAGATGTTATGAGGGGAAAAAAGCCCCAGGAGAAAATGGGCTCCATATATTTTGCCAGCAACAGAACTATGCTAAATACAAAGCTGTGCTATGTGGAAGCTGTTATGCAAAAGAAGTATATAATTAATGGAAAACATCCATAAACAGCATTTCTGAAATTAGTATTCAAATAACAAACTTCCTGGGAGCCTCAGAAAAAAAATGTTTGCCTTCTTTGAGGTACAACCATTTTAGACAGAAGACTCAATCCTATTACAATGGTAGTGCTTTTTCCCTATCATGACTAATTCTATTTGCAGGTTTGGTTGCCTTCTTTTTTCAGTTCTACTTATTTAACTATTTAATGCTTAAAATGTATTTCATAAGCAGTGCAGCAGTCATGCTAGAGGGCAAAAGCAAGACTTGACTTTGACATTTCTCTCTGTATAGTCTTGCAATGATTTTTGTAACAAAACATTACATTTACTTAAATGCCAGCACCTTGAACTTGGCCTGTAACATGTGGGTCAGATTATAGGATGATCATTCTCTTAACCATCACTGTAATTAATAATCTGTAAAGCAGTCATAGAAGAAACAAATTAATAACATTTGTCTCATTGTACTCTTGCCCTGTTCTCCCAGGAGGAAGTATAATATATACTGAGATGACTGGAGGGAAACAAGCTTTGTATGGAAAGGCAACATCTATCATTAGATTCATAATAGGAACCCAAAGTCTCAGCCTTTATTTTGCAAATAGAGAGGTTGTTTAATAGACCTTTTTTCTCTCCCTGCAAACCCTCACTTTTCTATAAATACTTCAAAACAGAGGTGGAATTTTGCATGGGTAGGATGAATACTGAATGAGTTTAGTGAGATTAAGAATAATGATATTAAGTATGTATTAAACACATACTGATACTTCTCTCATTTCTTCTAAATAAGGGCAACAAACAAGATTAAATGTCTGGAGTTCTCAGTCCCTTACAGAATAGGAGAATTCTTTTTAATAACTCTTGCAGGTTAATTACTGTATTATCAAAATGAAGTTAAAATTAGCAATCTTCATACATCAAGGAGATGGTGAATTAAGCATAGGCACAATGCTAAGACAGGCTAAAACCCCCCCCTGAAAAGGACATGATTAAAAAAAAAAAAAAAAAAAAAAATCATCGGCGACACTTCAAGGACAACAAAAGCATAGCCAATAGTTCAAAAAGCTTGAGCTAAAAGACAGACAGCATAACATAATATTAACCCCAAAATGAAAACATGAACAAGTGTAATTTTTAGACTATATGCTATTAATAGAAGATTAGGAAAAGCCTAGATACTTCTTTCAAAACCCAGTGAATTTCGAAAGAACTATTACAACTAACCTTCTCTTAAGAGAGCTTAAGTTTCACAGATATCAAAGGAAAAAAACAAGAATATAATTGCCTAAGTCAGTTTTATGGCAATGCAGGAGGAGAAAAGGAAGGCTTTATCTGAACAAAGAATTTGAAAAAATAATAAAATATCCTTTTAATAAAGAAAAATCCCGTGGTCTATTTACTGCCCATCACAGCTCTCAGGGAAGAGGCTATGAATGCTTGGATTAACCTGCTGATCAATTTTCATATGGATGTCAGACATTTCTAACTAATTAAAATGAATAATAATTAAAAAAAATATAAAAAAAAATCAAAGGAGATCAAAGTTCCAACTTCTGTTCTCTGTAGTTCTCTTGTTCTCATTAGAAAAATATCTTGCATTCTCAGGTATAATTGATGTAGAAGCAACTGACAAAGATGCTGTTTTCTAAGACTTATTTTACTACATATTATTTGAGGTTTTACAAGGATGAAAGTGAAAAGTCTTATTAGAATAAGGTACCCCCAATCCAAATTTAAATATACCTCTTTTTGTAGGAGTTCCTCTCGCATCTGTGAAACTAAAAGGGCTTCCTGATGTCCCTGTTGTTCACCAATTTGTTCTTGGAGATGTTTTATTAATATCTACAAAAAGATTAAAAATAGTTTGTCATTAACATAAATACCCACAACATGTGAAAACCTATGCAGGAAAAATACACCAAAAATATCAGTATTGTACTGCTGCAGGTATATGTGATGCATGTATTAACATACTACCTCTAACACATGTGCATGTGTGCTATTTAACAATCCTCTACGTGGATGGTTAAATAGCACACATGTACATATATATTATATGAAAACAAGTCTCCATCTTCAAGTTACTTTCCTCAGTTAAAAAAAGTTCTGAAATAATCTAAATGCAATAGCTCCTTCTACTTTCATACCGTGTGTATAACTTCTCCCAAAATTTTAATGCACAAATACAATCGCAGGCCCAGGTCCTCATGGGGGACTTCAACCACCCCGATACCTGCTGGAGGAACAATGCTGCACGGCATAAACAATCCAGGAGGTTCTTGGAAAGCCTTCATGACAACTCCCTGACCCAAGTGATAGAGGAGCCAGCAAGGAGAGTGGTCTGCTGGGCCTTAAACTCACAAACGAGGAAAGGTTTGTTGGGGTTGTGAATATCAATGACAACATTGGCTGCAGCGACCACAAGACAGTGGAGTTCAGGATCTGAGAGGAAGGAGCAGGCTGAAAAGCATGATCACAACCCTGGACTTCAGGAGAGCAGACCTTGGCCTCTTCAAAGATCTGCTTGAAAGAGTCCAATGGGATGGGGCCCTGGGGGGGAAGAGGGGTCCAAGAAAGCTGGTTGACCTTTGAAGAGCACCTCCTCCAAGCTCAAGAGCAGTCCATCCCAACAAGCAGAAAGTCAGGCAAAAATGCCAGGAGGCCTGCATGGATGAACAAGGAACTCCTGGCAAAACTCAAACATAAAAAGGAAGCCTACAGACCATGGGAACAAGGACAGGTAACCTGGGAGGAATATCGAGACACTGTCCGAGCATGCAGAGATGTGATTAGGAAAGCCCAAGCCCACCTGGCATTGAATCTGGTGCGACCGGCAAAGGCAACAAGAAGGGCTTCTGTAACTACCTAAGTGGCAAACAGGAGACTAGAGAAAATGTGGGCCTACTGATGCATGGGGCAGGGGCCCTGGAGACCCAGGACATAGAAGAGGCTGAGGTACTGAATGCCTTCTTCACCTCAGTCTTTACTAGCAAGACTGGCCTTCAGGAATCCAAGGCCCCAGAGACTAGGGGACAAGTCTTAGAATACGGAAGATACACCCTTGGTGGAAGAGGATCTGGTCAGGAAATACACAAACTACACATACGTAAATCCACGGCCCTGAAGGGATGCAACCATGTGTGCCGAGGGCAAATGTCACTTCTACCTTCAAAAAGGGCAAGGAGGAGGATGCAGGGAACTACAGGCTAGTCAGCCTCACCTCAATCCCTGGGAAGGTGATGGAGCAACTAATCCTGGAAACCTGGCAGGCACATGAAGGACAAGAAGGTGATCAGGACTAGTAAGTATGGATTCACAAAGGGGAAGTCATGCTTGACCAACCCGATAACCCTCTATGATGAAATGACTGGCTTGGCAGGTGGGAGAGCAGTGGATATTGCTTACCTGGATTTCAGTAGTAAGGCTTTAACAGTGTCTCCTCTAAGATCCTCATAGAGAAGCTGACAAAGTATGGGTTGGATGGATTGCAAACTGACTTAAATGCCTGGGCCAGAGGGTGGCGATGAGTGTAATGAAGTCTAGTTGGAGGTCAATAACTCAGAGGGTGTCGTGTGTAGAACTATCAATTCTGGGTCCAATCCTGTTCAACTTCTTCATTAACGACCTGGATGATGGCGCAGAATGTACCCTCAGCAAGTTTGCTGATCATGTAAAACTGGGAGGAGTGCCCGATACACCAGAGGGTTGTGCATACATCCAGAGGGTCCTCGACAGGCTGAAGAAATGGGTTGACAGGAATCTCATGAACTTCAACAAAGGGAAGTGCGAAGTCCTGCTCCTGGGGAGGAACAACCCCAGGCACCAGCATATGCTGGGGGCCACCCAGCTGGAAAGCAGCTTTGCAGAAAAGAGCCTGGGGTGTCCTGGTGGATACCAAGTTGAACAAAAGGCTAACAGTATCCTGGGCTGCATTAGCATCAATGTTGCCAGCTGGTGGAGGAAGGTGGTCCTTCCCCTCTACTCAGCTCTGGTGAGGCCACATTCTGGGTTCCCCAGTGCAAGAGACATGGAGCTACTGGAGAGAGTCTGCAAAGGGCCACTAAGATGATGAAGGGACTGGAGCATCTCTCCTATGAGGAAAGGCTGAGGGAGCTGGACTGTTCAGCCTGGAGAAGAGAAGGCTCGGGGGGATCTCATCAATGTTTACAAACATCTGAAGAGAGGGTGCAAAGCCAACAGAGCCAGGCTCTTTCCAGTGGTATCCAGCAACAGGAGAAGCAGCAAAGGGCACAAACTGAAATATAGAAGGTTCTGTGTGACCATAAGGAAAAATTCTTTACTGTGAGGGTGTCCAAGCACTTGTTTGGGTCTCTAAGCCCAGAGGGGTTGTGGACTCTCCCTCCTTGGAGATATTCAAAAACCATCTGGACATGGTTCTGAGCAAGTGGCTCTAGATGACCCTGTTTGAGCAGGGGGTTGGACAAGATTCTGTGATTCTGCGAACACAGGGGCACAGGCCCATTTTAAAACAATAGATCCTACTTCACAGAAAGATACAGTTTACAGTAATATAGAAGGAAATAACTTTAACAGATACCTATATGTAATGAATGTATGTACTATATCTTACCTCTTGTTTTGAAATTCTTCTGTTTAGTTCAGCTACTTTAGAAGTAGAATGCTCCTTTGCATGCTGGCAAAGAATCTTCTCCATTTCTCTCTCATGGGAAGCTTTCAGAGATGCAATGCATTCTGCTGTGTCTTCCTGTATCCTGAACAGAGTGAGAGGAAAATAAGATGTAGTAAAGCAGCTACAGACAGTTCTTCAAAAATGTGGCAAAGTTTCTCACTTGAACATATAAAATATCAAAAATGTTAGAGGTGGCATATCTTTGAAATTTCATCACAAAACTGTGTAAGACAGCACCACCATTACTTCTACTGCTCTGGAAGGATGACAGGGTAGGAAGCCTACAATGCTGGACATGTGCCTCCTTTAACTAGAGGCAGCTAGAATACAGAAAACTCAGCCAATCATCTTTTTTGGCTCCTCTGATTAAAAAAAAAAAAAAAAAGGAGAGAAAATAGGTGCTTTTAAATCATAATGCATCTGTCCTATTTCAGGTATCTATTTTAGAACAGAATGCGTTGCAATCTAAATATGCCAATTTCCTCTACTTTAACTATGAAGAGATCTAAGGGCCACCAGGTGAAGTGTGAAGTTTCTGCAGCTGGTCAAGTAAATCCCACTGAAAGCATACCCCAGTTCGAAGGAAAGTACCTGTACCACATCTTAATGCTATACAACACAAATACAAAGCATCTAAGATGCAACAATTTAGACTGAGATCTTTTTACTCAAAACCATAATGAATTGTAGTATTAATAAGAAGCATCAATATAGGTTTGCTTGTAGAAAGAATTGTGACAGTGCACTGCTCTAAAAAACAAAACAAAACACAAACACCCACAACAAAACCCAAACCCAGAAAAAAAAAAAAACAAACCCCAAACCAAAAACAAACAGTAAAAATTAAATTTACAGAGAACATTGGCCAGGTATAAGCTAGCTTCACTCATGGCTGACATGTTAATGTGTCACTTCAATCCTGTATCAGCTAACACTGCAACAAGGCTTTTAAATGAACATGTTGAGCATTTACCTTCGTGTGTTATTTTCAGAATAAGCCAGGGTTGCTTGAGACTTCACCCTCTGCTGGTTCATTTCTAGAGACAATCTTTCTAGCTCTTCCTTCAGCTGTGCATTTTCTTGCAGAACTTCCAAGAGATTAGAATCAGAAAAGGTATGTGGTTGGTATATTCTGTCATTGTTGAAAATGCTTAGAAAGGGTTCACTGTTGCTGGAATTCCTTTTATCTGTTGCTGAGGTATTCTTTTTCAAGATCTCTGTAGAGCTTCCCTTATTATTGGTTTTATTTCTCAAATTATTATCAGACAACATCACCATCCTTTCTTTTTGAAGTTTCTCTACAGTTTTTGTAAGGTCTTGTATTTCTCTATTTTTGGTGACTAGTTCTTCATTTAGTTTTAACAGTCTGTCTTTTGTGTTACCTTGTTTCATTGGAGAATCTGTGGACTCTAAGTCTTTATTATCCTTTTTACTTCTGAGTTTTAATTGGGAATTTTGACTTTTAAGGTTTTCAATTTCTGTCTGGAGGTTTTTAACAGTGATCTGATGGGTCTTCTTTAGATTCTGAAGCTCCTGTTCAAGTTCTGTAGAACTGGCTTTATCACCATTCAGTTTTGGCGATTCACTCATAAATTTGTAGGCAAGTAGTTGCTCAAGCTCTACAAGTCTTTGCTCATACTGTATCTGAGGGAGGGGAGTAGGAGGAGGGGAAGAAAAAGTAGTTTTCTCAAGTGTACTTTTATTATTAGCTGTTCCTATTATTCTTTGAAATTACTGCACACCTGAAGCAAGATTTCACAAGACAGGATACACATCAGTATTACTAACAATGCTACTCAATCAGTTCAGAAATTAGCGAGTGAAAAAAATTATGTGAAGCAGACTTAAGTCTGCTATAAAACATAATTACTCAAAACATTTACTGCAAAGTAATCCTCTACTCAAAATGAATGGAGTTAACTACAGGAAAGAAAATTAAATTGACAAGAAACTATTTCATTTTTATATAATTGAGTTCTCTTCAAAAGTAACATTTTAATATAGCAGGAATTCTTTAATTTTTTAAAAATGTCATTATGTATTTGCCATGTGTCAGTTTGCAATCATCACTGTCACATGCCTCAGAATTGTACTTCACATTTTTAAAAACATCTTAAATTTTAACAGGACAGATTTTTTATTTATTTATTTGTAAGTATGAATATAGAAGTATGAATTCAGAGAGACAAAGAATCTTTCTTCCTAATGAGCTGAGGAAAACCTAACCCTTCTTAATAGCCTGGATAGCCTCTGAGGAAAGTACGATGAGTTATTCACATGGAGAAAAGGAGGAACAACTGGCCAGGGCTTTCCTTTCCTGCTCATTAAGCACCTGTGCAGTTCACCTTTTCCTTGAAGTAAAATGCCAGACTTCCATGCTTCCCAAGACTTGCATTAAGACTCACTATCATGTAATTTTTGGATAGAATGTTTAGTGTTCCCAGACATTCCCCACAGAAATGCTCGGTCAGCAGACCTTTGAAACCACAGCCTTGGGTACAGCAAGGAATTAGGCGAGTAGCTACTCTGACCCACAGGATGAAACCCACTTTTCTTAATTGTAAGAATTAAATTATTATGCCTCAAGAACTTGTCCTCTCAGTTTCAGTACTACTATAACAATTTCAATGCTCTTTTTATCTTAGGTGCTGAAGCTACTGAAATTCTGGCTATAAATCCTTCAAATATTTTTTCCCCTGAATGTGGTCTTTGCCTTCAGTTTTCACCACTACTCTGTGTGAGACCCCAGTAACCTTGTGACTGTTACTTGTGGCATAGACTACTCAACAAGCCTCCAACTTTTACCTTTATTTTTTGAAATTGTTGTTCCATGGCACGGAGACTTTTTTTAGCTTCATCATCTTTACCTTCAAGTTCTGTTTCTAACTTTTTTATTCTTCTCTCCAAAAAATCAACTGTGTTTGTTTTAGCTGAAAGATCATTAGTTTTCTCAGCAGCAGCAGCAGCATAAATCAAAGCAGGCAAAGAATTTGGATACCTTCTTTTTAGAATTCCTTCCATTTCCCTGATCTATCAAAAAGAAAATTAAGTCAGAAGTCAAAAAGAATAAAGTTCTAATGAAAAGTGAACTGAAATAAGTGACAGAATGTTAACAAATGTCATCCACTTAAGCTGGGTGAAGAATGAAAACTAGAGACGCATATGTTGAGAATTTTTAAAAATTGTTTACATTTATGTTATTGTTTACAGAAAAGCAAGACTCATCATCTCTTACTGATTGACTTATACATCATCGTAAACAAATACTGCTCTGGTCTTCAGATTGTCTTATGTCAAATGGGGTCTTCAGATTGTCCTATGTCAAACGGACCTTTTATTTACTTTCTTAGCACTTAAGTGTATATGGCTCTTAACGGTGTTAAAGTATTTGCTTTTTTTCTGTACTTGCATTCATGTTCTACTTTTCCAACTGTTACAGAGATATTTCATAATGGTATTGAAATTATTCTCCCAATAACAGATTATATGCCTTTTATTTTGGAGTCCGCAATAAAATAGTCTAACACCTTGCATGCAAGACTAATAACAAGCCCCTCTTATCTACAGATAAGATATTCTTTGCATTAGGATACTGCAGAGGCTCTTTCCCATTTGTCCCACATCCCTACCAAATGCAGCTGCCATCTCCTAAAATTCAGAAAGGCCCACTTCCACCTGTCTTTTCCTCAGTAGAAACATGGATTTTAAAGTCTCTACTCCCCCAGTTTTCATGAATCTTGTAGGAATCCAAGTAAAATTTAAACCCCTACTCTTGAATCAACTTAGCTGAAATTGGTCATAATGTTACGGGATTACTGAAAATAGACAGAAGGAGTCTTACAAGATAAACAGCAAGCTTGTGTGTGCTTTTTCCCTCTTGCCCCTTTCCAAGAAACTCTAAACAGTATTTTAACATTAAAGGATTTTAAAAGGGATATCAGTAAATAGCTTAGTAGAACATAGTAGCAGAAGAGTCCTTTGTAAGTAAATAATTGCAGCTTTTTATGTTAAGAGTGTTCCATAGCACAAGTTACTTTATCATAGGGCTTCATTCAATGCTTTATCCTTATGAAAGGGCTGGTAAGTGTTTTAAGAGACCTTATCTGAAGTAAAGGTTAAAAGAAATAGAGTTCTATTATTGCATACTTGTCGTTCAAGATCCTGAATTCTTTTAGCATCTGCTGCTCTGTCTTGCAAACGTTTCTTCTGTTGCACACACTGATCTCCAGGTTCAGTTCTGAGCTTCTCAACCTATCCAATTTATGAAAAAATAAATTGAAATATATATTCAGAGACATTGTTTTGTAGTACAAAAGCAAGCATTTCAAACACACACAAATAATGGAAATTCTGCAACTTAAAACCTGGTAATAGTAATTTCTGTACTAACTGATTCTTCAGGTTCTTAAACTAAGTTACAGCTTCTTCAAGCCACTTAAGATCAAAGGAGCTGAAACTAGCTATGGAAATCTAGAAGAGAACTTCAACTCTGGGACATTCTTGTCTTCAGACTAGTAAATCTGCTTCTTTCTCCCATACTTCCAGTATGCAGGTTTGGTTAATAAGCTATAATGGAAAGTACTACAGTGCATTACATGAATTCAGGGTGAGTTAAGGAAATAGTTTGTGATTTGCAAGGCTATGCTCCATGATGAGATACAGAAACAGCCAAAAAGCAGCATTATGTTGTGCCTAAATAAAAGCTGACTCCCAGGATGAGGGGAAGGAACTGGATAGTTAACACTCCTGCACTCCCATAAAGTCTGGTCACAAAGACTCAAAGCTTTAATCTAAAATTGAACTTCCTACCTTTATCAGCCACTACAATCACTGTACAGAAAGAGATACTACACCTTGTATATTTGGAAGTATTCCTATCTTGATTTCTCTCTCACATTGGCAATGTTAGCATAAGTAATGCTTTTGTGCCAGCATAGTTTGACTAATTTGATCGTTTCTATGAAGTCAAAGCTCTTAATTGTTTTTAAATACCAGTCCATCCTGGAGAAAATGCAATTAAAAATATTTTCTCTCCAGCAATGATATGTCGATCAAAGTTTGATATAGTGGTGTTTAAGGGATCTCCTTTCCTGGCTGCTCCTTCAGAAGCACCTCCTTTCATCTGTGATCTCTCTAATAAAACACGATGAAAAAATTCCAAGATCAATTATATTTTATCACTGGTAAAATTCTTTATTTCTGTGAATCCTAAGTTAAATCTACTGACAAGTAGGCAATGCAAATCTCAGAACTATTCAAGATTCATGTATTAGTTTTGCTTGCTTTATATTTCAAGTGTTTTGGCTTTTTCTTCCATACTAAAGCAACCAGAGAATTTTCAAAGAAAGAATTTAAAATCGGTACTTTAAGAGAAAAAATAGGTGCTGCCTATGCCACCATGGAGTAAAAAGGAAGAAAAGAGAATGACAAGAGGGAGGTTCCAAGCTGTTAATGTAACAATGTACTTCCTTTTCTTAGTCAATAAATTTGCAGGTTTTAAGGAAACACATTACTTCTGTTTCCAGAAGCATCATCAAGAGGTCCAATAGAAGCAAAACCAGGTTTTGAGCATTCTCCACTTGAAACTCTCACTGCATATGCAGTAATGTCAATTTTGCATATAAAAACTCCACATTTGATTTAAAGGTTATAAAGGGTTTACATGTTTTTTCTTGAAAAAAATGGGATTATTACAAAGGACAGAATTACATTATACTCATCACTAGAAAAGAAATAATTTTAAGTTCCAACTTATTAGATAAAGCTAGACATTATCACCTCTAGTTTTAGTTTCTTAATTTCTTCTCTTGCATCTTTAAGACGGGCTGCATCTTTATCCAGAAGATCTTGATTTTCTGCATACCATTGAAGTCTTCTTTTTAAATGAGCAATTTCCTGTTTGTATGATTCTTCCATAACTTTAAATTCATAAGACTTCTCACCTACAAGAATAAAACTTCCTTAGTATTGTTTTATTAGTAATTATGTATTGAAGAAGTAATCAGTCAACACTATCCTTCTCAGCACATCTCATACATTTACTTTTTTGACAATCCTGTTACTGCAGTGAAGTTTTAAAACCAGACCCTAATTAGGATTTTAAATGCAACAGTATTTGAAAAAACCCTTTTTTTCTCTCATACCTAGTAGTACTCAATGGTTCAAAGTTTACCATGGAAAGTATTTAAAACAGAATCCCAGAGGGATCTATTCTTGATCACGTTCTAGTAAACAAATTTTCAGTAACAACATGGATGACAATATAGAATATATGCTTAGATATGTATTGACCATACTCCTCCCATTTAGGGATCAAGCATTTTGAGAAGAGACATGGAGCTAAGTATTACAGCTCTTACGATTTGTGATGCCTGATATTGGAAGTTAGAGAGTCCAATTTCTGGCCCTCTCATTAAGAAAGCTAAAATCAGAACTCCTTCCAGTTTGACAAGAATGTTGAAAAAAGTCACAAGGCATAAATTATAGATAAAAAATGGGCAAGATCTAAATAAATGGAATTGTCTGTTTTCCACGCCCAGTGGAAGATGGGCAAGAAATCAAACTTAATAGGCAATAAGAGAGAGTTGGCTGGATACAAGAAAAGGCTTTCTAATACAGTACCAAAGGTACTGTAGGGTGTCCTTCGCTGTATGCTTTTATTAGAAGTTGAGATGATATTTGGAAATGGTCTAGATGCATTTGACTAAGTAATATTTTAATAAGAAACAAGTTTTAGTTACATATTTATTTAGCAAAGCACTGAGTAGGCAAAATTATTCAACAAAATGAAGGTGCTTTACCTGATGTGGATGCAATCTGGACTTTTGCTAAATCTCTCTCCTTCTTTGCTTGTCCCAAGTCTACCTCAAGAGCTTGCTTATCTTGTTTGAGACGTCTTATCTCTTCTTGTAATTTAGCTTCTTCCTTCTGAGTTTTAGAGAAAACAGTAAGACAAGAAAAACTAAACATGCATTGTCATACAAAAAAACTGAACATACTTTTTCACCATAAAATGACTAAATCACAATAGTTGCGTCAGACCACAGCAGCAATGAGGTTTTCTAGTTTTGGTATTATTCTCAGGCCTTGCTATAGCAGAGCATGGGAAAACTTAAGCTAAACATAAACATTTTTTTTTAGTAAGTCTTACATAACTGTCTTAGAAGTAGAAAACATCGGCCTTTTGAGAGGGTCAGTAAAGAAAAATGGCTTTACTTATTTCTAAGACAAGACTGTAGCTTAAATGGACAGATGCATTATCCAACAGTTCATCTTACTACATTCTATTTCTCACCATTTTCTGCATGCACTCTCTGTTCTGTTTGTGTATGTGTGATCACTAGCAAACTTTAAGTAGGATGAAAAGTCTCAGTGCCAGTGCCACGTCTGGAGATGGAGGTCCTTGGTCCTATGGACCCACAGGTACAGGAAGCAGCAACCAGGGGACTGAGATTTTGGGGCCAGCATGTGCACATATGTGTTACTGCTAGCAAACTCCCATCCTGTTCTGCTGAACATGATCAGGCCATATGCGCTCCTTGTGTTTCCAACAGTATTGTTTGTATTTCTGTGGTGTGAGCAAAGGCACTGCTGTCTGTGTTATCTGTGTGCCTGACCATGTTACTGCTGTCTGTGTGTCTCTCTCCATCTTTGGATCTTGTGTTCAGTCTCATTACAGGCTGGACCTAAGGACAGGGAAGTGTAGCAGCAGCACCTATGAGGTTGGAACTAGGGGAGCCCCTGGAGTCTTAAGAGCTCAGTCAGCTCTATCAGACCAGGAATGCCTCTGCTGGTCCTGAAGCTCACTGGATCCAGATCCTCTTATCACCTACCTAATCAGTTGTGGTTTGTTTGTTTGTTGTTTTTTTTTTTAAAACAAACAAAAATGGAGGAAGCAGCTTTTAATTTCTGGTCTAACTATCAGAGGAAGTGTGTACCAGAATAGTCCCCCCACTTGCAGTAAGCAGAGCACCAGAAGTTCCTGAAAACCTTTAATTTTAACATGAAGCTTACTAAACATCCTCCCTCAAAACCACAAGCATCTGTAGGACTACAAAAAATGTTACATGAGTGAGTAACAAAAGACTCTTTTCACTCTGATGTTCTTTCCTAGAACTTACTTGGTACAGAGCAGGGATAAATATTCTTCTGAATTTGTCTTACATGGGAAAGCTATAGAGGTATCACTACTTTCTGCAAGCTCTCACAAGATATTTCAGACTTGCCAGTAAACATGGCAACAATGCACTTCTTTCAGTGAATCTATATCTCATGGAATTACTTCTGGAAGTTCATTTGATGAGACATTTGTGATATACAAGTGTGGCAAATAATTATCACTGTAGAAGAGTAGCATGCTCCACTACTTAATTTACATTATTAGTCTACAATATGGATGGTTATGCATTTTTTATAAGAACACATGAAAAACAGGCTTGGTATATACCTACCTGTGCTGCTCGAAGCTCTGAAATCAGTTCTGTGAAGCTCTGGTTTCTGGCTGGTTCAGAATCCTGCATGACTCGTGACTGGATATTAGGCTTCTCTATCTTTTCTCTAAACCGCAACAGCAAAACCAGTTACACAATGTGGTGACTTGGCATACTAACAGTGGCATACTAAAAACCAAACACAACCCCCCACCCAAATGGTACCACAAAGCCAATCTGTGCAGGCTCAAAACAAAGAAAGAAGCAACTATGCAATACATCTTTATACCAAAAATATTTCACCTGTAAGGTGAAATCTTCTCACCTCACCCAGACTTGTTTGTTGGGACTACACAAGGGCAGGAAACAAAACTTACTCTGCATCAGTGGAACTCATCTACAGGCCTCTCCCAAAGATTTGTAAATTAGGAGTACAGACAATTGCTAGGTTTTTTCCTCATTACTAGCACAGGATGCAAAACTTACAGGACCTACAGTGCAGTGAATCTAATGGTTCCTCTACTACCAGGATCTCTTGTAGCCCCTGATCTACTGTGTATCTTACAACAGTTATCAAAACATTTTGACATGTGAACAGAGCCACAATACCAGAACAAGCGTAGTATATATATTACACATTCTGATATGAATAAGAGTATTAGAATTTTAGCATTGAAATATTCCCCAAATGGAAGACTCTAGTCTTCCCGCAGGTCTGCAACATCAGCAAGAAGACTAAGAATTAAGTGCCCATAATCAACATAAATCAATTCTCAAAAGAAAAAACAAAACCACAAAGCCAAGAAACACTAGAAAACATGTACCTGACAGACTCTGCAGTGATTCTTCATAAATAAAATAATAAACACAGTGAAAATGCCAGAGATTTTAGGTCAGATGTTTAAATGAACCTACCTTAGGTCTATTAATTCAGACATTAAACACTGATTCTCCTTAAACATTTGTTCCTCATTTTTTTTGTTTTGGATTTGTAGCTCTTTCATTTGTTTGTATAACCTCTCATTTTCCTAAGTTGAGAGAGACAAAGTATGTTTATAAATTACTGTTCTATCGAGTTCAAAAACAATTGTCTATGACTTGCATAGCTTGCCTACGGAAACAGTGGAAGCAAATTCTAAATATTTTATTACTAGGTTTTTAAAATGGATATCTGCTTTTATTATCTTTACACTAAAGTAGTATACAGTGACCTCTACAATCTTGTCCAAGAATCTGCTCACTCTGGAGAACCTAGGCCAGTTTCTCTACAAAGCTATCCCAACTATATTCTAAAATGACATACATGGATGGGTGCTGACAGACCAGAGCTCAGCCTGCCCATGCTCCAATCCTGCGGACACAAACCATCACCAATTCGGGATGCTCACAGCCATACCAGCAAGACCTTGTGCCTACACCAAGGAATGCTGCTGAGCACCAGCTGGAAGCTGGTTAAACTAACCTATTTGATTATACAGCTGCAAGCATTCAAAAGGATTATTAAGCTTGCATTATCTATTTCTACACTTGACTAAGTAATAAAAATCAGGCACACTAATAAGGTTTCCTTGAAATCATCTTAAAAGCAGAACGCTCCAGATTTCTAATATTGCTTAATAATACTAGTTTTCTACTACATTTGGGACAAAAAGTTTGTGGTTCTTTATCGGCCATAAAGTATTTTCCCAGTTCTCAACTGAGAAGTTGGCATATTTTTACAATTTAGAACAGCTACATGGAATTGTGGAAAAACTTAGCCCAAACTAGACATATGTGAAATACTTTTTAAACATGCAATACATGTTTGCGCTTCACACCTAAACTTCATCCACTTTTTAGATAACAAAATAACGGTTTTCAACAGAGAAGTAGTAACCATTAAACAATTTTGTTTCTGGAACTGGCTAGAACAAAGCTCAATATGCTGTGTGGTATACCTGTTGATAACCTTGAATAATGACCTCTTGATCTTCAATTTCTTTTCGTATTTGTGCCAGTTTTTCTTCAGTGACAGGAATTGTTGCTGTATGATGGGTCCATCTCTTTTCTTGACTCAGCTCTTCCATACTTCTTAACTTTCAAAAAGAAAAAAAGACACACAATTAATAAAGTTTTGTTAGCAATATGGAATTCTCTACAAGACTACACTTTTATAATATAAATAGGTCAATCTTTTCATTAAGATATGAAAGGAGACCAATGAGCTAGTCTTCTTATTGGAGTTTTACAGAAGCATTATGAAACAGGAACAAAGTATAAAAAGTTTGGGAAAAGTTAAGAACAGAAGAGGGAGGGTAAAACTTTGTTATGTATCTAGACAGGAGGGTATAGTGGAATAACCCCAGGAATATGCCATATAGATACAACATTGAAAAATGCATCAAAAAAATAAACAATACCTCAACATATAGTACTTATCTATAACAAGTGGTATCTGTTAATCTCTTGGTTTTTTGGTTTGGGGTTTTGGGGTTTTTTTTGGTTGGTTGGGTTTTTTTTGTTTGTTTGGTTGTTTTTTTTTTTTTTACGGAAGAGTGAGTTAAATCTTTGCAAAAAACCTGCTGCAGAACTCTCAAAATAGCAAACTAAAGGAACTCAGGATAACATAGTTTATCTTTAGGAAAAAAAGATCATGTCTTTTGGGCAATAAATGTAACAGCTGGTATGCATTTACAAACTAGCTGTGTGTAAATCTGGATTTTCTGCTCATTAACAACCTATGTAAAATACCATTAATTTAATTTTCAGAAGCAACGTTTCTTCTGTTCTATAGTAATGGGATACAAGATGATAAAGTACCTTACTCTGAAGAACATAGTTTTCCTGACCCAACTGAAAACGCTCTTTTTCATGCTGAGTTTTCAATTCTAATATCTTTGTCTCTATTTCTTTCTCTTTTTGTGAAACTGTGCTGGTTAGCTGTTGAATCAAATCATGAGCTGTGTTCAGGTCCTCCTCTGCAACTTGTACTCGTTTTAGCAAATATAGTTCTCTATCACAACTTTTGATAGGAGAAAATGATGAATCCTAGTGAAGAGAAAAATTCAGGGAAACATTACATCGAGCTGATTGTTTACCAAAAATTCCGCTCATTAATTTTATTTAACTGGCTTGTCTGGCTCTCAGCAACCACACAAGGCACTTGAAAATTCCCCCCCCCCCCCCCCCGCAACATTCTAATAACAAAACATCCTGCATTGTGATAATTATTAACGGTCTTGACAAACAGGCTTGCAAACCAAGTTGTACGTACCATAATTAGGAGCATCACTGATTTTTACTTACATGCTGATATTGCCTGCAATAATCCACAGCCTGGTGTCCAAGATTATTAACAACTGGTTGCCCAGACATAACTCTGTTAATACTTCCCGTCAGAGTTGATTCATTTGTTGCAGATCTTATTATCCTAGTAGCAAATAAGGCTTCTTCATTTAGGCAGAAAGTACAACAGAACAAAATTAAATTCAGAATTTAATGTCCTTTCAAAAATATCTGTTCACGTGATCCACCCCTTAGGCATATAAATTAAGTATTCTACAACCAGAATTTTGAATTAAATATAGCAGCTTGAGAGCAATGAGACATTATGGAAAATGTAGCTGCTGTTTTTTAAAGTAAGGAACTGATGACAAGATAAACCAAAACCCAAGGGAACAACAGAAACAAGTAGCTGGATAATAAATCCTTCATAAAACAAGGTTAACCTCAGTTCTCTGTTTGAGAAGTGGCCAGGTATCTAAGTATTAGATATTTCTGTATATAGGAACACAACATATTTCAAAGTATGATGAAGATAAGACACAGCAATTTTCAAAATGGACTTTGGAGTGCAGACAGCATAGAAAGACATGCAACATCTATTTGTTGCATCAAAGAGCAACTTGACTGGAAATTAAAAATCATGGAAGTTTGCCTTAGAGAGTAACTAACATACATGGAACTATTCATGTATTAGTCTTCTGCAACACAGATAGTAACTACAACTGCCATTTCATTTCTGCCTATAGCAATTTAAGCTAAGAGCTCCTGCTTAGGAATGTTACACCTGAAAATGAACAATGATAATTTTCCAAATTTTATACTTTTTGCATTTCTCACACTACGCCCTCACAAAGATCCTCCCTTAACACTGACGATTAGGGGATTATTTGATTCAATGCCATTCTCTTCCTAGCTCTAGAGGTCCCTGCAGAATGCATCCTGGTGACATTAACTTCTGAAGTCACGTGAAATTGCTATGGAGCATGGTTATAGCTAGAGAGGGAAGAACATCTTTGAATGAGGCTAGTGGCCTCATTTTCTCAGGACTAGTTATTCACCTCACGACCTCCATCTGGCTGTACACCCTCCTTTTCTTCAGGGAGCGCCACAGCAATGCACTGAGGAACTAAGGTCCCTTAGTTTGACAGCTGCCACTGAAGCATCTCCCTAAGATGGGCAACATAATCCTAAACTGCTTTTCCCAACACTACTTACAGAGTTTTTAAAAGCATTACATGCTCAAAGCGTGCTAAAACCTGGGCATCTATGGAGTTATCTTCCCATGCCTCAGGGATAGCAAACACTGTCTGCAAAGATGCTAAGCTGAATTATCTAATGAAACTCTTTAGGCTTCACCCAAAAATAAAAAAGTTCAGTCCTTTACTTGTAACTCAGCTTTCACAGGACAATATTGGTATTCTCCTTTCCTTAGTGTTACAAGAGATGTGAATAGAAAAATAAAGGTTTCTTTTTAGTGCTTTCTTTGTATTCTAGGAAAGCAAAGATAAAAAGAAGCTGAGAATAGAAACTTGGCATCACACACAGAAGTTAGTGTGTCAGCAAATCTTCGCATTTACTGTAATGAAAAATTTAACTTGTAGATACTTATTTCTATTTCTCTTTTTGTATTGTTTTGGTCCTACTGGTGAACAATAGGCAAGTCTCAAACATAGTGGTGGTATATGTGAGTAGAAATGAAACAACACTACAGTGCAAAGCTTTATTTAAAAGTCTCTCTTCCAGCAACTTCATGCTGATACAGAAAAAATTCAGTACATAATTGCATTTGGGTTTAGATTTCTTCTACATTTTGAATTTTTTTTTTTTTTTTTTTTTTTTTTTTTTTTTTTTTTTTTTTAAATGTGACGCATGAAGAGTAAAGCTCTCTGGCTCTTAAAACCCAGGCTTCTTATGATAGACTTACCTTTAGATCTTGCTCTATCTGCAGGACTTCTGGCTTTCACACTGGTCTTTTTGAAAGTTTCTTTTGGTGCTTTCTTTTCATTAGCTGGAAAAGACTGTTTTGAGAGTGAGCTGGGTTTCCCATACCCAGAACTTCTAACCACCCCATGAGGACCATATGAAGATTTCTTTTTATGTAAAGGTGCTGGACTTCTGATATTCTTGTGTAACATTGGTTTAGTTGTCATTGATTCTGATCTTTCATTCTTCAAGGAACGAGACCAAAGAGCCTGTGATAAGAGCACATTTCTTTAAAACAAGTTTTAGACTCTAGTGTGATCTGAAGGTAGCTTTCACTACTGAAAAAACATAGAACCAGTTACCAGAATTACACACCTGTAAGACTCGGGGTGGCAGGAAGCATTATTTTAAACCAAATTAATAGTATGTAATTTTGCAGAGTTTTACTACTTCGGAAGTATATGTAGTGCAATTATTTTCTACCAGCTCCATTTAATTGTTCTGGGAAGTTGTATTACATTACAGGATCTTTAGCTTACCAAAGCAGGTAGCTCATGACTAAGGGCTAATCACAGTGAACACAGAAACCTAGCGATGAAGAGAGGAACAGTGGTGGGCAGAGGAACACTACTATACCTAATCATTGAAAACAGAGCATGCAATTCCTAAGACGGGCAAATGAGGAAGCTTAGCCTGTTGGCCCTGGTAGGAAACCCACCAGGATGAATCAAACAACCCCTCTCCCTGCAATGCCTTGCAGACAGAAGCAGTGATTGCCTAAAGGAGCGGGGGGCTAATTTAGGGGATGCAGGGAGAAGATTTAGGATCGTGTAAATCTTGTTATGGAATGTTTGAGAAGATTGTGGAATGTGCAAAACTTATGGGATGTTTAGGGAAAGGACAAAAACTAGGTGGAGTGAGAGATTAAGGTGGATCAGGTAAGAACAAGTGTGGGAAACAGAGGGAAAATAAGATTAAAGTTTGTGACATGACCAGGTTGCTGGTCAGTACGATTGCCTGACTAAGCCCTACATTGATCACTGCAGTCTCTCCTATATTCTTATTAAACTGTATTTCTAACTGTCCTCTCCACAGGTATGCTCTCTATTCTGAGCCTGTGTGTGTTTATACATGTACCCCCAATCGGAACACATGCTCAGACTTGCTACTAGCTTGAGCTGGAGACATGGAACTGCAGCAGCCTTGTGTGTCTTGGGCTGGGACAGGAAGAATCCCGCTGGTCCCAAAGTCCACTGGATTTGGCTACCTCTAACAATAGCAATGGTAACATGAGAGTTTCAAGAAAAACAGCAACAGCCTCTCAATTTCTAAACATCAGAGCATAACCAAATGACAGGCAGTCTAAAAATATATAAATTTTAAATGTATTTCCATATAATAAAATCTGGTTGATATTACTTACTTGTTTAGTTTTGCTGCCTTGTTGTGAAAGCAGAGAGTCTTGTACTATTTTTTCTCTTAGTACATCTGGCTGTACTTCACTGGTCTGAATTTCTTTCTCAGTCACCGTCTGAAAATTATCATCATTCACAGCTGTCTGCAGAAAGATGCTCTCTTCTCTGTTACATTTTTCAAATAAGTTTGTCTCCCAAACCACATTATTCTGGTGCTCTTTAAAGGGCAAGTGGCTGATGAAGTCATTTGTTGTGCTGCCTACCAGTTTCACAGGACTACAAGAGAAAAGAATAAAGTCATATATAATAAGACTTTTGCCCTTTGCTTTTCTATTACTCTGGAAAAAGTGGGCCATTTTTCCTTTAGGTATCAGCTGTAAAGACTGCTGGAATTTGAAAGAGCCACTAGGCTCCTTTTAAGAACAACCTTGCAGATTTAGTTATACAGATTCATTCCCATGCTGTGGAACAAAAGCCATTTCCCAGTAGTGACTGTTTTTGGAGGTAACAAACTCGGCTACAAGAGGAACACCTGCAAACATGGAATTAATGCTAATAAAACAATGAATGGTAATCTCTGCTGGGTGCAGCTATGTGACAAGCTCCCCAAACTCATTTGCTAATGAGCCCAGGGCCTGTGCTTTCTGCTCTAGACACAACTGTTGGAGCAAACTAGAAGAAGGTATGGAGCACAGGTTAGTAAAAATCATGAGAGTAAGCAGAATAAGAGGATTTGATCTTAGATTATGGAGGCTAGAGAGCAAGGATAGGATGTGGGCTGAAATCCCTGTATGGGGGAGGGGAAAGAGCAGAAGACTAGGAAAGGAGAGATCCTTGCTATGGTAGCTGCGAGAGTGACAACACTCCTCCAAATGATTTGGCAAATATTGCTGCTTATCACTCAAACAAAGTTTAGGAATCCCTGGTATAAACAAATTAACCCTGCATATTAATTTTGCAATTCACTGTAAATGCCATAATGCCAGTGCAATACATAATGAAATTTCAGTATTTAATTAGGGAAAAAGACAGATGAGTAATTTACTAAGCTGTTTTTCACAAATAGTTAATGGACTTAAGGTACTACAATTCTTAAAATGCATTCTGAAATAAATACCTTTCAGGCTCCACATCAAAACTTCTGGTATTACATGAATGTCCTTTAATTGGTTTCATCAATTCTTCCACAGTAGGTAAATCTAATTAGTGGGAAAAACCAAACCAAAATAAAACAAAACAAAAAAACAACAAATCAAGCCTTAGAAAAAAATCTTTAAAAAGGACAACATTTTAAAATGTTTCATGAATGGAGTATTAAAGATATTACTAGTTCACTCACTTTTACGTGCTTGTGCAATACATGCCTGCCTTTGAGGTATTTACCTGATTCAATAGTTGACATGTTTTTTGAATAGATGTCATTATTTTGTGAAACACCTTGCACTAAGCATTCTGAGACCACCATTGCAGAATCATGCAGTTTTTGCTCATCAGTGTCTCCCAAAGACTGATCAATATGATGGTATGCTTGGTGTAATGCTTCAATGTCACTGGTGGTTTGTCCATAGGAAGTGCCTGTGAAAAATGCAGGCTCATAAGAGACACTACAGGATTTTCTGTTTTGGGAAACATCCCACTGGAGCCCGTTACTAGCTTGGTCTATTATGTGGTGAGAACAATGATTTTAGTTATGAAAAAAATATTTTAAAATCTCATTTTTACTATAAAATTAAACAGTTGCCAAGTTAATCAGTACATACTAAATAGTCTCATCTACAGTTTGCATGACTCTCTACCCTGCCTCCCCCACCTCAATATTTTATCAGTACTAAAACTAACAGTGTATGCAATATAACTATTTTAAACAGATGCCATCAGAGCCATACTCTGGATACAAGTGGCATACACTGTTGTACAAAGTTTGATAAGAGAACGCAGTTTATAATTGTGTTCAATGCTGTCAAAGAAGAATTTTAGCTATGATGAATAACCAAAGGAGATGGTACTTAAAATCAAACTGCAATGTTAAAAGTAACTTTACAATAACCAAGCATAAAAAGGTGTCTTTTTAGCAGAAACATGACTTTTTCCTGAAACATTTCTTCCTCCTTTCAAGATTTGTTACTAAAAGCCAAGGGCTTCATGTTCACTGATAACCTAAGAACAAATGAAGACATCAGAGCCACCTATTTTACTAAAGTAAGATTTTGGAGTTTGGGTTTTGTTGTGTCTTTTTTTTTTTTTTTTTTTTTCAAGCAACCCTTACCTGCTTCATTCATTTCAATTCCACTGACTTCTTCAGGCAGATAATGTTCACCTAGAGCTACATCTGATGTTTCAACAGCCTTTTGAAGTTCTGTAGTTGAATCTTGTGAATCAAGTAATACAACTAAAACCGAGAAGATAAATGTTAAAGAAAACACAATTCTCTTATTTATACTCTGTCTACACTGGAATTAGAAGTATACCAAAGCTTATCTTGATGTCCTAAACATGCAAAAAATGCTATATAGATTATTCTAATGCCATTAACAGTAAACTGATTAACTCTGATTGCAAGCATCAAAATCCAAGTACTGACTAGATGTAGTAAAATAAAAAATTACGCTGATGATCACTTTGAAGTGCTAACATATAGATTAATTTCTAATCACTTCAGTCCAACAGACTTTCAGTAGAACACAATAAAATCAGGTGAAAAATATCAAAATAGTAAAAATCAGGTACGAAAGTTTCAAAAAGTTACATTTAGTATTCTCCTACTTAAAGTTTATATTTTACCTTTAGCCAGCATGCCAGTGTTTGCTTCTTCCTAACAAAAATAAAGAAAAACAATTACTTTTTGAATTTCAGGAAAAAAAAAAAATCTGGAAAAACTTCAAAAGTTGGTCCAAAACCTACGAACAGTTCTTAGAACTAAGCAGTTCTTGGTGCTCCAAGAATATGCGCTTCTCTAAAACTCTCCATAGCATGCCAGAAGGTCATCAACATCCTGTACTCTATAAACCCTCTCACAAATGTCTGGGAACTAAATGCTACTATGCAAAAATGGAATAATATTTTTGAACCTCCCTGGTTCTCTTATACTGTAATTTAAGGAAAGAAAATAATGTAGTAGTAAGTACATTACACTTCCATTCTAGTTGGTCTCTTCAAACATTTATTAGAAATATTACCCTAACAAACTTACTTAAAAAGAATTGTAAAGAAAACATTTATCTGTTATAGATGAACACATGGTGCTCTATAGACTCCTTTCAACAAAAAACAAATCAGAACGTGTGCTTCAGGAATGCACCTGATGTGCTCCAGCCACATGTGCTCCACACCAAAAGACCTGACTAAGCTACTTGACAGTGATACCTCCAAAGCTCATACAGCATAGGTTTTGGGTCCTCTGTCCAAGCTGCTTCTCTGTACAGAACTACTTCCCTCAGTCTGTGTGACTTGTTGGTGTAGACACCACCTTAATAGCTCCAAGAGAGAGATTAATCACTACCAATTCTGGGGCTGAGGTTCCAACCAGAGCTCATCATTTATGCACTCCCATCCACAGTTCTTAATTCAAAGGAGAAGTAAGCAGGAAACCGTGTGAAGAACTTAATCCTTTCAGTGATTTATCACAGGAAAAGTGTATATCCTTAACAGAACAATATAGTCCCAGGACGACTATATTATTTTCTTTCAGCTAGCACTTACTATATAAAGGTTTACTATATTTACAATTACATATTGCAGAGCTATTACAATTCATGCAAGTAATATAAACATTTGGTAAGTTATACCTGTTCTTGAGGACTTAAATCAACTCCCGACGCGATGTTCTGATTCACCTGACTTCCCTCAGTTTTAAAGGCAGGATTAGCATCTGTTTCTTCTTCAAAATCTTCACTGTAGCTGCCTGAAGAGTAAAATAGACATCAAATAGAATGAATCTTCAAGGAAGATAAAGTAGTAAGGGAAAGCTATTTCCTCTTCCCCAATCTCTCGTCTAAGAGCTACTGCCACTATTACTCCTTTCACAAAGGCAACAGAAAGGCTTTGAAACTGGGTCTGGTACTAAAACTACAGTAAAAGTCACACATAATATCTCTAAATTTGAATGAAGTTTGTCTTATGATCAGATATACTTTACCTCTGTCTCCTCAAGGTGTATTTGAATTGACCCCTTTTATTCAATCACTTTCACTTACGGGTGAAGTGATGCAATTCCCCCCATAGTAAACAAACTACTCTGTACATCCACTTTGACAACTCCAGCAGTTTTTAGGCTCAAAAGCTGTAATTCTGCTTCCTCTGACCTGCGTTGATGGCCCAACAGCCGCTCTCAAGAGTAAGCATTATTTAAAAACACAAGTGTGTCAGAGAATGCATTTTACAAGCAAGCCAAATGTTTTTCCTTCAGTTATCTAGGTCCTTCCACAATTTCTAATTCCCTGTTGCCACATCTCCTCCACTCAGCTCCTGTGGTTACAGGCTTCAGTGTCTGCACTATCTGTAAACCTTAAATCTAGAAGCATTGCAAAACCCTGGTTTATAATGTGTTCTTTCTGTGTTTTGTCACCAATACAACTGACACACAGCCTAACTCATATGTAAACACTACTCTATGAAAAGTAACTCCTTCAGCATTCTCTCTGGGTTTGGACCATGAGAAGTCTGATGAGCTGAAAATAGCTTTCTCATACTGACTTAAGACATACACAATGCTTATACTATTGCTGTACATGTATTATCCACTACTTCGTTTGCTATTTCATGAAACAGCACTTTGGCAAAGACTAAACCAAACCATGCACAACACACAGACTGGGCATTCCAGGTATTCCATAGAAACTGTTCTCCTAAAAATCAGAAGTATCAATTTCATAAAACTGACTGTAACAATCAAGTAATTTCAACCATTTTGTTCAGAAAAAGAGTACCAAACTGTTGTAGCATTTCTCCTACAACTATCATGATCTCTTGCAATCTACAGAGTAGTCAAACTTGCAAGGAGAAAAGATTTCCTGTGATTAAGGTTTACAAATACAGCCTCTTTACATTTGGGAAATTCAAGCCTGACAACAGGACCTCTCAAAAGTTCAGCTAAATATATGAATTTGAAAATACAATATGTTGGTTAAATTACAGGAATCCACTCTATCATATTTTAGCAATGAAGAGTGAAATAAAGAGAGACAAGTGAAAGACAAATAAGCAAGATGGAAGGAGTGTAGCATGGAAATTTGGGAAAAAGATCAGGTAAGAGTAATACTGCAGATTACAGAGATTAAACTCAGGTATGAAAAGACAGTACAAAAATACAGATGACAGTTAAGACACTGGAGTAACTCAAACATTAAGATGTAGTTCAGCATCAAGGTCATTTTTTCTTCAGTTTTTGATCGACAGTTGCTTGGGGGTTTTTTTGCTGTTTTTCTTTAAGACGCTGGTCACAATAGATTAAAAATACACTTCAAAACAAAAAAGCACAAACCAAAAGCAAACCCCTGAAACCCTCTGTCTGAACACCAGCTGCACAGTCATAATGCAAAGGCAGACTAAAAGGCCGATGTGAGACTACAGATAAATGCAAATAGTTAATATGGAAATTACAGTAGCTTTCAGATAAATAAAAGCTTTACCCACAACACTCAGGGTGATATGGGAACAGAAGTCAATCGGTTTACATATTACTCAGAACAAAAAAGTTCAGTTAGGATGCTGGACTATCTTGTGAATCTGAAACCTAGAAAGAGTCAAGTCTTCTGACTAGCTCCAAAGGCAACGCAGAGTACAGAGCAAGCTATGAGGCTGTAGTACTACCTCCTCTTTCCAGATCTTTAAATTACATCCCACTACAAACATGAAGATCCTTCGCTATCCTCTGACACCCTGCTGTGATGTTTTCTGAAGACTTTGCATTTGAACTGGAGCACTAATCCACAGCTTTCATTTCTGTTATCCTGTTTCATGAGGTTCTTACAATTCTTAATGTACACACATTAACAACAAAAATTCAAATTAACAATTTAGAAAGATGGTATTACCAGATTTCTCTTCATGTGAGGATTCCTCTTCTCCTTTTTCATTTTCTTCATTTCTGAGAAACAAAATGAAAATTTTACTCTCTTCTTGGACAGCAAATAAATAGTCCTTTTTCTCCAATTCCAAACTCTGATACTTCTCGCAATTAGCAATAAAATTAAAAACCTGAATTTGTCTACCATATCAATCATAGGTAAGAAAGGCGGATAAATGTCAGCAATTATTAAAATAAATATTTAAATTTTTACAACTGTCCACAGTTAAAATTCTCAATCTAACTCTTAAAATTACTCCCTTTCTGCACTCCCTCCAACATCTGTACTAGCTTCTCAAAGAAATTATCATCAGGTTTGCTTCCTGTTCTGACCTTCTCATTCTGCATTAACAATAACAAAAAAACAAACCAAACCCCCCACCCTCTCCTTTTTGTCCCCTTTTCCTGTAAAGTTAAAGCTTTGTCCTTACCTAAAGCCTCTCGAGAGTTCTGACCCTCCAACTGTTTGCATATTGGAAGTTGCCTTTGCACTCAGCATTTTTGGCAACAGCATCCTGAATTGCCCCTTCATCCATTTCACATATGTTTGAACTTATTTTCACATAACTGATTGTAAATGGATTGCCCTAGTCTCTGAAGATTTTGTATCTTTCCTCTAGATTAATTTGTAACATCATGTCTAAGGGGACACAGAATCTTTCCTGATCTACTTCCTTGTTATTATCAGCTGTTAACTTTTCATTTAGTTACACCTTACAATTCAGAATGTTAAATCGACTTGTAACTATTGAGTTATGTACAAGACTGTGTAGCTATCTCCACTCATCACCAAGTCATGCTCTCACCTTATTCCTTTCTTTTATTTAAGCTCACTTCTGTCCTTGTCTTCCAAAAAACCCAAACAACCCAGAACAAATAAACCACAATAAACAAACAAAAAATTGACTGAAATCATATAGGATCTTGTCCCACAAAATCTCAGTGGCCATGGTATTCAGATACCCAAGTCACATATGCCCACTAATATAGTCCACAACTTTTCTTCCCTCTAAATTACCGTACAAATGGTGCTAGTAATACAGAATCATTGGAATCCAGCTCTTTATTTAATCTTGAATAATCAATAGTAGAGGAAGCTTCTTGTTCAAGTTTGGCAAAGAAGATCTCTTTTTCTTCTTGTTCTTCCAAGGTATCCAATCCAACTCCCACAATACTTTGATTAGGCCCAGAAGCTAAAACTGAATCTAAATTTCAAAACAAAGAATAAACTAATTGTGTCTGTGCTGTACATCCACATAGAATAGTCATAATAGTTAATAACTATAGACAGACTCACAAAATATTAACAGTATCAAACAATCACAAGTTAGTACCAGGAGCCTTCAGCTCACGAGATGCAGCTGACAGAAGTGAAGAATCCTGACTTGCAAATTAATTAAGGGAAACAGTTTGTAACAATAGTTTATTTAGATCTAGATAACTTCACTAAATGGCTGCACTCTCAGTTCTCACCATTTGTCTCCAGGCTGTCTCTACTTAAGGAGACAGCAACGCCATTACTTTTCTGAAGCTGCATTTTTTCCACATGTGTATTCTCATCAGTTTCCCCCACAGGTTGTGAAGCATTCTGTATCTTGACAAAGCTTCCATTGGCTCCAAGCATTCCTAGGAAAAAAGTTGCGATAGTCTTGACTATTATCTAAAAGCTATTTGTGTTACACTTCAGTCTTTTAGTCATTTTCCAGAACCACCGATCTTAAGCTCATGTTGCAACTGCGAAGATACCCAGTCTCACAAGTTACATTCATCTAACTTCAGTTTCTAATATGAGATATGTAAACCTTGTTTAATTACAGTTAATTAGTCTATTATAGACATTTTCTTCCCATTCTTCACATTTGCATGCAAACATATAGTTCAGCATGGGGCAAATATAACAACTGTAAAAATTGACTTACTGTAACCATTACTTATGGAGGACAATCACATACACAAATCCTGTACAGAAATTAATATTTCTTTGTTAAAAGCCAATTAATTTCGTTTGATCTACTACCCACAGGCTTTTGAAAACTGTAGCCATTGGCCCAGCAGCTCCTTTTCATTTGTTGCAAATTAAATGCTTCAAGGAAAAAACTAGTAACCAAAGGTCACTGATGAACACCCAGTGCTTCTATTCTGTATGTTTATGCAACTACAACATGCAGTTGCTCTCCTTACTGTTTTTTCATTGTTGTGAGGGTTCAATATCATCTTACCAACCTTATGTGTGAATTCTGCTCTCAGACAGAACGCTGCCTTATCCACTTCCTTATGGAAAACTAAAAGCCAAATATTCCAGTACATTACTAGTTAAAAAGCAGTACCAAGTTCCTTCTACCTGCCCTTAACACACACGCACATTTATACTTCAGATTCTTCAGAGGTTTTCTTAGGAGAAGGGCTAGGAGAAAAGCTGCATATGCATTTTATCCAATGACATATGAAATGATTTAACAGTTCTCCCAGAAGGGAGCAGAAACCGTGTCCATCTTTTCCAACACGAATCTCCAGTTGGTAAAATAAACTCAAAATTTTTTGTTCTGTCTGGCCAAATGATGTTTGAACGGTAGCTGTGTCCTGGTACTGAAAATACCAGGAGGGGTGAAGACAATGAAAACAGCCCATTTCCTGCTGGCAGGGGACTGCAGGAGATGAGTACATCAATAACCCCTCAGATCAAGAACACTAAACCAGTCTCTCACATGCTGATCAAGTGCTTCAACTGGGCTGTTACTCTGTCCTCTATACAGGTCCAGCCAAGTTCCTTTTAAGAAATGCTATACTTGCCTAGATCATGACAATGGAGAATCCTCTCCCTTCAGTACTGAAGATGTACCCAGACTGAGGCAGGGTGGGGAAAGTAAAAGTCTGAACACCTTTTCCTTCCCTACTGGGCAGCCCTTAGCATGTGCATTCTGATTATAAGAGCCTCTCTGTTAAGAAGTAGAACAGGTTTTTTTTTTTCTTGACTTCAATGACAAAGTCCCCTCACGCATTTTATTGGGAGGCTAAGTGTATAAGATTCTACATCCTGGAAATGACTTCCACATTCCTGTATCTAACTTCAGCTCCGTCCCCAATACAGAGCTCTGACTGACTTGCCTTCCATGCAACAAATAAATGTCAGAGACATTGTCTAAAGGTCAAGCTCCACATGTATATACAAAGTTAATGCCTACTACATTGAAAAGTATAAAATGAAAAGCTCAAAGTGCTGAACAGAAGTAAAAAGCACTAATAGTCCTTTTCTCTGGTAGCTAAGTGCAGTAATTTAGAGTAATTTACCCAGATGGTGCTCAGTTCTAGCTATCAAGACTGCAAACAGAAGTCTGTCTGCAGCTGGGTCACAAAATTTTTGCAGAGCTTTAGATTAGCCATAATCTCACCAGACCTCCAAGACCCTATTTTTCAGTGAGAATATGTTAGTAGACTCAAAGATAAAAACTGTTACTGCCCTCCTATCTAAGATTTGCAAGAAAGGAGATGGGAATATACTTCAGTAAAAAGACAATTAGAACTTTCAACAGAACAAGATTTTAGAAAAAAACATTTTCCTGAGTTGTTTTATTTAAATCATCTCAAACTCAATGAACTTTGTCACAGACTTTACACTGATCTTGCAGGTTTCATGGGATTTATGTAAGCTATCGAATATTTTTTAAGTATTTTGCCAGTTCAAACCAGACCAGAGCTTTTTTAAAAAAGCACCTCCCATAGTAATCTGAAAATCAAATACTGCTTTGCAGCCATTGAGTTTTGCAACTCTGCCACTCCCAATTCCCAGATTACAGGGGATACTACCATTTCTAATGAAGGCAACAATGCCTTTTTTTATTCGCCCTACACAATCTGAACTCCGAGAAACCTGTTAAACTTGGAAAAAATATCAACTTGGATGGATTTCAAAGTCTCTTTTCACTGTGTTTTTTGGCTGTTTGAACAGTCCTACTGATTTCTGTGGGGCTTGCAAGAGCGATTTATTTTTTAAGGGGTTGTTTGTTACTTTTCATAAAAACTTCTTGAAGCAGCAGTTTTCTTAACTCCAAAGATTTCACTACCCATATCTTCACATGCAATATTTTGTAAGGCTAATGATATACAGTATTCTTTTTTAAAGTCCTGCCACTTGAAATTAATTAAAATAAGAACCTGAGTTTCACTTAGAAAAATATTTCTAACCACCACACTCGCAGAGAAAAGTTTAAAAACATAAATACAAAGGATACAAACCTACAGACAATGACAAACATCCATTTAAAAAGTAACTTCTTTTGTCCTTAATCTGTCCAGGACTGTCAGAATTGAGCCATTTTACCTTTTTAATATCATATAAAATACAGTAGATTTGTTACCCTCAGAATTGTCTGGACTGTCAGAAGCGAGGCTTCCTTCTTCTTTGTTTAAGTTCAAATCTCTCTTGTCCTTATGAAATTTTTCCAGCATTTTGAATTTAGACAAAGCCTTGCTGCGAGATGCACTGAAGGAAGCTTTAGGGGCAACTACTTTTAAGTGTACACAAACATTTATAAGTTTTTATACATAATGGACAGGGAATAAAGAGAAAAATAAGATGTGAGATTGCAAATTGACACTTCTGAAAGTAATGCAGTTCAGCTTCTTGTAGACTGAATTATCTATAGTTTTCCAGCTATAACTAAAAATTAAAGTTAATACTTATAACTTCTGAGAATAAAACTCTTTTTTCCCCCTCTTTTTTATTTTAAAAAAGACAAATTCCTTCTTGCTCCACGTATACCTTGCATTCAAATACACTGTCCTAGGAGCTCAATACATTACCAGAAAACAAAGAAAACTAGTAAAACTACTTCAACAATAAAAGAAGTTTTGTACAACTTTTGAAAGAAAGCATCTAGATCGGTTCACAAAAAAGTGGAAAAACATAGGTACATAAATGTGAATTACTACTGTTTTATCACTGTCCGGTACAAGAACTGCAGGTTGTTTGCTCAAACCCTTGTGAGGACTCGCTTAGCAGCAAATACAACCAAACACCTTCCACTCACATTAGTAGAATTAAGTTTTAGATAACAGTACCTATGCTGAAAACTCTGCTCTCTCATGATACTTAGCTGATAGTCACACTGCACACTTTATATACCTTAGGCTAGCCAGATGCACTGTAGTAGACTTTTCCTTGTTCAAATTGTCAGGGTTGAGGGGGCTTCTAAATTGGCTAATTCAGAGAAAACTCTTAGTTACAGGTCTTTTGAATTTACCTTGATACAAAAGAGAGCAAGAGTAGTCTAGGGGATCAGGCCAAGTACTTCTGCTTCTAGAAAAGGGACTATGGGGTATGTGACCAGAAGCTAACACAACTCAGAAACATCCAAGATGACTAAAAGAAGCTGGTGAGAATATGGCAGGTGCATTGCAAAAGAGAAATGGTATGAAATCCATTCTGATACAGTGCATGGGTCCTTTATTCCCTCATCTCATGTCCAAGTCCACTAGTGAGGCATCACTTCTCTAGATTTATATTCTCCCACATTTACTGCAAAACTAAAAGTGTTGACAGCATGCCTTCCATTGTAAATTATACAAACACCTGATGCCTTTTAAAACAGTAATTTGAAACAACTACAAAAGTCCTCCTATTGCTTATATTTCAAATATTAAGCCTAATTTGAGAAACAGATTCAGTTTTAGTGTTTATCTCCCAGACCGAGATGCTTTATAGCTATTCTATGCAAATGATGCTTATGAAAACACGGCAGCATATACACTCTAGAAAACTAACATAGGGAAATGTTCTATAGGCTACATAGCAGGTCACCAACATGATCTAAAGACCAAGTGCCAAATATTTCTTTGTCATGACTCTCCAAAATATTATTGATCTGCTTGAAGTTAACACCAAAGCCACACTTAAACTACTACATACAAGTTAATGGCTATTGTCATATACACAAAGTATTTAATGGATCAACGTTTATAACTCTTAATTAGGAGTTTCTCTTCAGATAGCATAAAAAGTGACTTCACATAAAATGTTGAATCTGAAGTTACACTGACTAAAATAATCCTGCAGATTAAACAACTTAGTTTGTCATTATTACACCAATTGTACTGTTTCCATTCCAGGGGCAGCATGCACAGAGCAGCCTACTGGTCAACAGAGAGAAAAGAATCACATCAACAGAAAATAATTAGAATACTTATCTGACTGCAGTCTTTGAAATTGAACAAGTAGAACAGTGAATATTAATATTTCTTGAGTATGAAATACAGAAAGCGTACGAGATTTTTCTGTTTACTAAACATACTGATTTTTGTTTAGATTTTCAAAGTTATTCCCCTACACACACTGGCTTACATTCAATACTGTCTGTCCTACTACATCACTACAGGTAGTGATGTATGATGGAACAACAAGTGAGCAAAAGTTCACACAGTTATTAGTTTATTCTGGAAATGACAAATGAAGTAAGTGGCAGCTTGCTTTCAGTGACAACACATCAAATGGATGATTGCAAAGGATTTTCTACAGGAAATGCACTAGTAATACAAAGCTGATATTGAATAAATATAACAAAACCTATTTAATCAAATACCAGACTGGGAATCTGAATGGGGACTCTTTTGTTCACTATTTTCCGCTATTTCAGCATGGCTTTCCATCAGTTTCTTCTCTTTTCTCAGTTTAACAAATCTTGTTTGAAAATCTTGAAAAGTAAGACAAACAGCAAGAACAGACAGGCAAGCAAGACAGGACAGGAATTCTTATTAACCAATTTCTTTTCATCATTTAAATGACAAAAGTAGAAAGGACATGAGTTAGTGGTAGGTCTTTAAGCTGTCAAATAGGGAAGACAATATTCTGAATCACAGTTTGCACATTTCAGTTTAAAGCTGAAGAACAAAGAGTTCAAACATGCCTTGAATAACAAGTTGAGTTATTTTAAAATGTACTTTATACTTCTCAGCCAAATGAGCAGAAATGGTCTACACTGTTTACCATTAATTTACAAAACCAAGTGAAAACAGGCTATTAGTTTAAATCTCTACCTATTTCCTGGCACTCCTGTAACAAGATGCCTTGGAAAAAACAATCAGGCAACAAATACATGTATAGCATATATTTAGTCTTCCAGTCATCTCCCTGTGTCTTTCAAGAAAGCATGATATAGATACCAAAGTAATGCAAAATGAAAACCTCAAACTGGAAACAACTTATCAGCTTGATGTGTTAGTATTATTAGTATTCTATTATTTGTAATGCAGTGCCGCACTGTAGGTAGAGGTAAGATTTATACATTTACATAAGTTTGATTCATGATGACAAAACACTTAAAAAATAATAATTCTATTAGCTGACAGCCTGTTAACAAAGTCCTGTCTGCAACTAGTGTTGTGGTTCAAGCCTAGAAGAACACACAAGGCTCTCCACAAAATTTCAAAGCATGCCAATGTTACGCTTTTCAGAAATTAAATTCGGCTTATCTCCGTATTTATTATCATCACAGCAATATCATATTTTTTTCGCAGGACAATTATTTTGCTATGTAGGGCACATTTAATAACCTTATAAAAAGCAACAAATCTAAATCATCATCTTCTCAGTCATTCCATGCAGTAACTTCTGTTGCAACGCTGCTGTGCCTTCATCCATTATTAATACATCTGAGCAACATACTACACAACATACAACTGCTGAAGAATATTAGATCTGGCAAAAATGTATTTGACAAAGTACTTGGAAGCATGCAAGACAAACAGAGAGACACACAGAGGAAAAAAGGAGCAGTTCTAGAAGCCTAGCCACACTGAATTCCTTACAGTCACCTGACCTGCCATTTTAAAGCACTGCAAGTATATCTACATGAACTAAAATCATAGCATAGTTTGTAGTGTGTACACACATGTATAAATCCCCCTTCATGTGTGGGATTCATCATTCTCAGTTATAGCCACGTAAAAGTTACCTACTTTTGCAGCTGCAGAAGAAAACTCAGTTTATACTGAAGGCGGCCAAGTTGGCCTCTGCAAATGGCTCTCTTTTGTCTCCAAGTTAATTGCCCTACAACTAGACTTTAGTTAGCAGAATGGCATTCATCATAGTACAGATTGCTTCTGTGCTGTGCAGTTCCTAATCTATCACAGCACATGTCAATACAACTGCTACCATTTGCAAGTGTCCAGTGTGACAAATACAGCCCTTTCCTCATGGGATGACACAACAAAGAGCTCTGCTTCATGCCACAGAGCTATCGTCTTCTTGCCAAGACAGAACCTGGAAAGCCCTCTGGTAAAACTTAAAGGCCTCTCTGCTTGCCAGTATTAAAGTACTAGGTGGCATATGGCTTACTGCGTGTGTCCCACAAGCGTGGAATTCTATGCAGAGAGTGATGACGGAGATGTAGATGAAATAAAACTAAATCTGGCTGGCAAAAATGGTGCTTGGGGAAGAATTCAGTGCACAGATCTAGCATATTTGCCCCATGTTCTTGTATTCTCAGTTTTACTATGTCCAACTGCCAAGACATGTTGGACCTTTGGCTCAAAAAGCATTACACACAGATTACTTTCAACTCCTGCCAAAACAATCCAGCTTCTCATCAAGAGTATGAATATGAACAAGATAGCTTCTTTCGCAAGTAAATAGATTCCATACTGGCAAAACTGAGTAGGTTCACCTTCTGAATGTTTTCCTGTTAACGGAGAAGCTTTTTTTAAAAGACACCTTAAAAAGTTTACCAGAACTCTCTTTTTATTTTATACCTCAATAAACTGCAGATCAGCATGTTTCAGCTCTAATAGCTTTACCTCTGGTTAAACTACACTGCTGATAAGATATTCTTAATTTAAAAACTAAAAGTGGTAGAATTGGTGTGGATGGGAACAACTTGGTACAATCACATTAATTCTTCTGATTCTGCTTTGCATTGTACTTAACCTATACAAGCACTGTTCTCTAAAACTTGTCATCACCCTGCCTTTCAAGTACCTGTTCCAGTGCTTTTTGGTTTAAGCAGCATGAGAAGCATCAAAGTGCTTTATGGGTTGCCTCAAGCATCTCAGAAAAACCATGGAAGAATGCTGAACTTCTGAAGTCACCTGAAAATTTTCTTTGATAGTACGTAGAAAAAGGAGGTCATGCTAACCGCTTAATTCTCACATTTTACCCAGCAAGAACACTCTGTCCTTCCATTTTTTCAAAAGCTGCAAGGAAATCATAATATCTCATAACTACCTGATAGGAACTCTCTCATATCCATCTGAGTTTTCCAGCAACATCTTAAAAGGACAGAGACAGATAAGCAGTCCAGACGACACCTGTTAGGGTTATGCCTAAATGGCACAACTGCTAACTAAGATTTGACTCCTAACTATGACAACACTGACAGAAAGAGCTACGCTTAAAATTGGAGACTACCAGCAGTATCTTAACTCTGTCACATGAAAAACTGGTTTCTGGAACTTTCTGTTAAGCTCCATTTGTAAGTTACAAAAATCATGAAAATAAGAAGCCACCAATTACTACAAGAACAAGAGGCAATCACCCTGTGGAAACTAACTACTCGTAGGCTTTACTACTGAAAAATAAAACAATGAAGAAATGGAAAACTAGAGGTGGAAAGCTTGCAAACAATAATATATTTTCTTTCAGAACTATGTGACCAAGTCAATATTGAACTAGCAATCATGTCATCACAGCCCTTTTCCCCTTAAGCCATGGTTCTTGGCAAGGAAAATGTTGAGAATACTGACAGACATCTTTGAACCAGCTGCTGTTGAAAAGTTTTTCTGTGCTTCCCCAACCTATTACAAATGTTTTAACTAGCATAAGATCAGACAAATTGGTCTTTTCCCTCTCCAGTTTTGAAAACAGAAATCTGTAAAAAGTCCGTATAAGGAACAGGTTGGTTACAAAACACACCTACAAATATTTCAGCAGAATTCATATGTTACTTTTTCTAATTATCTTACTATTTATACTGTTTACTCTTTACAAGTTTTAATAACTTGAAAGCTACAGGAAAAAACAGTAGAAAGCTTGCTTACAGCTTGAATACAATCCCTTTTAAAAAAACACAATTACATTTGAGTTTTATACTTTAGAAACTTGCATTGTAATGTTCTAAAGCACTTGAGTGGCATCAACTTAATCTGAAACCAGGCCTACATGAAGTATGAGAAAGAACTAGCCTGACCCCCTGTGGCCAAAAATTTGCAAAACTACATTATTTACCACTATCATCCAAATCTTCCTCAGATATCCACCATGGCACTGAATCCTTTTTCTTCGTTTCTTTTTTCCTGGGTTGTCCCAATGTCTCAAGAATGCTGGATTTTTTCTTTGAATTTCCAAGTGAATCATCTGAAAGAGACTGAGTCAATTGCATACAAGATTAAATACAGCTTTACATTTTCACATTGCTAACTGTCTTTCAGCCACTCAGTCCTGGACTTCTGAGTTCAGATGCCTCTCTTTACTCCCCACTGTCTGCCTTTTTTGTATATGCATGACAAAGTTGAGTAAGAAACAATAACAATATTCATGTGGCATAATACTGTATATTATAACAACCCCACTGCCAGAATCTGGGTATGTTAAAAGTTAACTGCTTAGTAGAGTAAATGTTCAAATAAACAGCATAATCAGCTCTTTTTCAGTTAGTTACAACATATAAGAACCAAAATCCCGACTACATCCCTGAAGAGAATGAAGTAGAACAGAAACAGTTTTGCCTTAGCCTTCCTTTGTACATGAACAACACTATTAATATTCTAAAAATAAACCTTCACAAGCAACATTCTAGCAAATCAGATTTCAGAAATTAATTTCATACTTTGTGTTCATGGACATTAATAGAAATGCCAGAGCCATTCCTACCCAACTCTGTGTATTAAGCTTTCATATGTGCTAGTTACCCATGCCGATTTTGACTGATGGCTTAAATCAATGGAGAAAAAAAGTCTATGAGTATGAACATCCTATGAATTTAAGTTACCGAAGAGTAATGGGAGGGAAAAGACCTACAGACACTTCATAAGACAGCATCACTTTTTTTTAAGTGATGCTGCTTTTTTTAAAAAAAAACAACTAATCTCTGCTCTTTTCCTTTAATAAAGCTCTTTGTGGCTTACAGCAGGCTTAGAGCCACAATTAGCTTTCCAGACATTGAACAAGGAAATATATTCATTAAGCTAGCACTCTGAAATCTTATGTGCTATGTATTCTTTGTACTTAAACTCAGTAAACATGGGGTTAAGGGCAATGACATACATTTTATTTTTATCTAATGTTTTAGCCATAATTGTTGAAACCAATTGTCCTGAAGTGTCTTAAAGAACACTGTGAACAGAGTTAGCAAAAGCCATAAAGCATAAGAAACAAAGAATTCACATATGAAATGCATCATATGGAAAAATTTCAAAAGCTTCACTTTCGTAATAGTCACAAATAAGAAAATGTGATAATATAAACAGAATACTAGAGGCAACAGGACTGTGAGTACTTAATATGTAAAACACAAGAGGGTATTTTATCAAAACAAGCCTCTGCAGTCCATTGCCTGATCCTATTGCATAAAAAGCACTACCATAAAAGCCTACCTTTACTACATATCTAACGCTTCAATTTATATGGGCCTAACAAGAAAATCCATAAATCAAATGCCAATTATCCAAAACTACCATTTCAGAAAATAAAGAATTATAAGAAAATAATATTCTTATAAATATCACTGGCCAATAACATCTTCAGAGCTTAGAGTTTCACTTGAGAAAACTAAATGCCTGTCATACAGTCTCAGAAAGAAAATTTAAGTGCTCTGAGCCTTGCACTTTAATAAAACACAATTTTAATAAATTATGAAACTGCTAGACAACAGGATGTATTGCAATTTCTTTAAGTTGGCTCAGTGACATAGAACAAACCAGCTTTACATTCTTAATAAATGTCCTATAAATAACAACTTCCTTACACGAGTCACAACACGAGTACTAGTGCCATTGTCCCCAAAGGTCGGACTGCCTCCTGCTAGCTAGAAGTACTAACAGGTGCTTGATGCAAGCTCTGTTATCGCTTGCTGTTTCTTTTATGACTAACGGTACCCTCTACTCTGCAAGCAGAACTTCAGTGATGCTTGTACTCCTTAGAGTATTGTAACTAAAGAAACTGAAACTCCCACAGGTTGTTCTCAAGTTCTGGAAACTTTCTATGTCCAGCCATCTTGTCAACTGCAGACAGTAAAGTTGCAGCAGCTGGGAAAGAAATGCTGACACAAAAATACTAGTGCATTTTTCCCAACATGTCAGTTGTCTCAACAGTGAAACTTACAGATTTTTTTCTTCCTTTGAAAAAATGTAAATAAATTAGTCAATCAACTTTTTGGACCAGTAATGGCTTTTCAGTGCCACTAAGTGGCACTGATTTCTTCCTTCCCCTCCTCTATAAAACAGCCTGTCAGCCTTTCAGGAGCACAGACACAGGGTGGGGGGAGGATGGGGGGGAAGAAGTGTCAGTTGTTTAATCTCAACTTAAATAAAAGCCCAAAGAGTCAGTTTTAAGAACTGGGACAACTACATGGCACATAATCAGCTTACCACCTCCTATACACATGAAGGAACTTAAGTAAATAGGTAATACAGAATTGGATCTGAAACACTTGGACTTTCATGACCAGTTATCCTCATTATTTTACAAAACAAGTCTTTTTCAATGAAACAAGTCTACTCCAAATTATATTTTTAGTACAAAATAATATGTTAATATATCTGATCTTTTAATAAAAATTAAAAATGTTTTTCAAACATGGTTTAATGTGTAGTGTTACTCTTCCAGGTGCTATACTACAGATTTCAATAAAGTTGGTGTAGCCTTTCCATTTGAAAGTCTTCCTTCTCAGCTGTCCATGAATATCAAGTAGAATGCAAATCAGCCTAGAAGACTAGAAGAAGACAATGGCTTTTTCATAACTTTGCTTTGCTTGAAGTGTCATCAAAAAAGGAGTTAATTGAAGCACTGTGTATTAGAAAGAGCTCCTCACGTTGCATGTCCCAAGGGAACTTCACAGCCAACACTCTGAAAACCTAGGAGCTATACCAATATGACAGATGACGCTTAAGGGAAATTAAAGTGACAATAGGGGAAGCACGCTAAAGCAAGATATTGGTGGTGGGGAGTGGAAGGATCACAGGCACACAGACAATGGAGGAGGAAGAGAAGAATCATGGATGACAACAGGCTGTTCTGGCAAGGGGTTGGGAATAAGCATGACCATGCAGAGGAATTGTTAAAAGACCTACCCTACATGCAGTAATTGTTAATGCACATTGTGTTTCCTTCTGTTTAATGATAAAAGGCTAGAAAAACCTCTTCACTGATAGGTTTTAAAGTTCAGTGCATATGCCAAAAGACTTAGTTTAATCCTATTAGACCTGCATCATCCAACTGTATATACAGTCTTGCTTTTAACTTTGTATGTTTTAATCGCTAACATACATACAACCCTCCCAATAAAGGCAGTTTCACTAACTATGAGTTATTTAAAAGGAAAAAACCATCTTGCTCCATTTCTTTTCTGAAAGATTTGCTTAAACAATATTAAGTCTTCCTCAAACTACTAAGAAACAGTTTTTGCTATTCCCTCCCCCACTGTTACACTCTCAACACAAACATCACCTACGCAGCAATTTCAAACAATGGAGCACACCAGTTTCTCATCTTTCTAACAATAAAAGGCTGCACACTTTATAAAAAACAAAAGCAAAGGGAGGGACATAACAGAAGATGCATGCGTATAAAGTAAGAGAGTAGATAATGTCATTGTTTAGGTCTGTATCTAGCTGGCAAAACAAAACAATGCATATTTTTAACGATTGGAGTGGCAGTATATGTGTTTAAGCAAGCTTAAACACTTTACATACAGTGTTAATTGTTTTTTATCATTTCAAAGTAAGACATGAGTTGTTAAAAGTTACGTTCTCTGGAACACACCAAATACCACTTAGAGTAATTCAATACAGCTATTTTGACTTTTTTCTAACTTGAGCATTCTCAGTGTGGGCAATAGCTGAGGAGCAAGGAGAGCATGTCAAATGAGGAACAAAATACTAGAAGCGATCATATGCAGAGTTTTGACAGATGCACAAAATAAAAGAATAAACCTGTTTCTCTTCCCCAGAGCAACTCCCTTCATAACAATAGTAAGTAAAGAACTTTTGACAGAAATGCAGAGCCTAATTTTCTATTTTTACTAACATTAGTAATTTCAGTGAATTCAAGAATTTTAACTCAATTACATCATCAAATTTAAGTTATTTGTGAACCATACATTTCAGATGGCATTTTGGTTTTCTATTCTCTCAATTTAGTATTGCTCAGTGAAGTTACATTTACTCTGTATCTGTAAAAATACCTCAAAAGCTGCATGGTCAAGGCAGAGTTACAGACCTACCTGGAAAAGCTAAAATCTTCTTGAAAAGAAGCTTCTGGTTACTACAGATCTTTACTACACAGTACAAAGTGCAATTTTTATATAATCTAGCACCTACATTTTTCACAAGTAATCAAATTGTAGCACAGCCTCTACATCAAAAAAACTTTAAACATACATTACATATAACAAGAGACCCCAAGAATATTCTCTGCCATGATCAGCGACACTTATAGCCAGTAACAGAATCTAGTAAAGTCCTTATGTATGCGGTATTTACACCTTAGGGTTACCACGCTGCCCTCTGGTATATCAGACACACAAATTCTGAAATTACAGGTCTATTTACAGTGAAAAAAACATACCAAGTTAGGGCATTTGGACCATGTCTGATAACGGTTAGCTTAAGTCACAACTCGCAGACTTGTATGATTTTGCCTGTACTCAAAATCATCGAGCACCATGAGGAATAAAAGGAATTGAATTAAAACTCTCTAATCACTACAACATACTTTATTTTGTTAGGATTAATACCAGAATTTTTAAATAGAATTCAGTGAAATTAGGTATTGCACAGAAAAATAAGGAAATTCTTAAAAAATAGCTTATGCCTACATCCAGGAAAAGTTTTTTATCTCATTTTCAATTATATATCAGTCTGAAGCTTCTGCTACTAAATAACACACACAATCAAATTGAAACAAAAATCAAGAAGCAAGGGCTTTCTGAAGATACAACCTAGCAGTGACAAAAAATTTATTTAATCACAAAACTGTTCTCTTGATTTCAATATAGCAAAATAGTATGAATTAAGTTTAGCAATGAAGTTAAGACCCTGCAAAAGACCCACACCTAAGACAGCTATGTCAATTATGTGATAAAAGCACAGCTGCAACTTCCATTTCATATTATTCCATACTCAATTTTTGCCCTGTATTTTAATAGGGAAAAGGGATGTGACCTTGCTCTGAAACATACCTCTTTCAGAAACTCTTCAAACTGCTCATCTAAATCTTCTTTTGAAAATCGATGAGCCATAATCTGCAACTGGATGTTACCTTCCAAACAACTGAGTTTAAAAACGAAGATTTAAAATGAAAATAAAGTTAATTAAAAGCATTCTGAAATTAGAAGTGCCTAGTGATTTGCTGCTTTCTGGAGAGCTATAAGCAAAAAAAAAAATCTCAAGAGATGCCAAATTTCATTCCTCCCACCCCTAATCTAAATTATTTACTGAATGAGACAATCAATGCAAACATACCTGGATTACCCAAATTCCTTATGATCAAAATACTCATTTCCAAAACAACAGTTTCAGCATTTAAGCTTTGAGGGATAAATAACATATGATTCTCTTCACCATCTTTACATTTTTCTTCAAAAGACAGCTCTCTTAGCTACGCATAATTAAGCATTTTGTCAATGATCAAACAAGAATCCGCTGCAGTAATACTTCCCCTCCATGTTAAGGGCTTTTAACTCCTTTCTATGTTTCTTCTCCAAAACTGGAGACATCTGGCATTATAAGTTTTGTTTCATAGTCTCTGCCGTGCTTAGGACTCAGTAAACAACAAAAACATGGAAGTCTTTTAAGATTAGAGGATGACATTTGGTTTGATCTGTCCTGACACAGAAAGCCAAAGGCACTTGCCCCTCTCCCATTCCCAAAAGTCTGAGTTGACTTCTCAGGTATAAAATATGGCCGGCCCCCCCCAAAACACTACAAAGCTTTTGTATATCACACTGCTCAACGCATATGGCTACCTTCAAAATTGCATACGTATAGCAGCATTAAACTACCCTAGCATCCTCCTAGCTGAGAAGTGCTATGTAAACATAAAAGGGCTAAACATTTGCAGAAATGCTCTTACCATTAAATAAAACTTCTCCCAATATGGAGCCCTCTCAGTACACAGGACTGTTACCTACCTAGTAAATTGATTTTGACAGGCGAGTTGTGACAACTGCTTCCTGCTTTCACTCCTTATTCATCCATAGACCACCCAACACTTTGGCTTTGGCAGTTAAAAAAAAAAAAAAAAAAGTTATAGCAGACTGCCCAGACTTTGAATTGAGTAGGATATCCTTATGTAAGCACTTGGACAATATCTCTGAAAACACGGTAAGAAGATTAAGAATGTTACCTCTCATGACACACATAATCCAGTGTCCTTTTATACTTTTACATCAAAGAACACTAGATGCTAAACGTTAGGTGCTTTAACAGTTTACTAGCTGTGCCAACTACTTCAGCAAGCAGAGAATACTTAATTCCAGCCTTACCAGAAAAACAAACTGATTCTTCTGACATCACCTGTACTTGTCTACCTTATAATTACAGCTTTTATAAAAACTAACCGTATAAAACTTTATTTTTCAAAAGGACAACAAATATGTCGGACAATTTCCCTAACAGAAGATTACAGACAAACATTACCCTTACCAAATACAGCCATACCTTTAGAACCGGAGGCTCGCAAATGACTTTGTACATAAAACAGAGAAGTCACTTGCTGGGGTATTTGCTATAACACAGTGCGGAAAGCCGAAGTTTTGGGAAGATATGGCTAAACCACAGGGCTGAAGGAAAGCTTCTACAGCCTAACACGTTTCAGGTAATCTTTTAACCACCCCAGCGCTAGGACCAGCCGTCACCCGGTCCTCCTCCAGCTTCCCCTAAAGCAGACGCCGAGCTGGCACAGGCGGCGGCCGGGCAGCAGCCCTGGGGCCGGCGGCCCGCGCTCCTCCCAACCCCAGCCGCGACTCCCCGGCTCTCGTCCGGCCGGGAGGAAGGAGGGAGGGAGAAGAGCAGCCCCCGACGGGGCACCGCCAGGCCGAGCCGGCGGGTGGGGCTCGGCTCCGCGGCCCGAGGGGACGCTCCAGAGAGCGGCGGGGGACCGAGGAGGAAGCGGCTCAGAGCCGAGCGCTACCCTGAGGGCGGGCGGCCCGACCGCTGCCCTGCCTCGGGGCGCCGGCACCGTACCTGGCCCGCGTCGGGCCCCTCTCCGTCATGGCCGCCTCCCTCGCCGGCGGCGCGGTTGCCTAGGAAACCCTCCCGGCCACCGTACCGCCCGCCAAAACTGACCGCGGGGCGGCGCGTCACGTGATCCCCCCCAATCCACCCGGCTTTCCTCTCTCCCCCGGCCGGCGCCGCGGGTGGAAGACACGTGGCGGGGGAAAACGGGGGGGGGGGGTCCGGCGGCCATTACTACCGTGGCAAAGGTAACCTCCCCTCGGCTTGGCCAGGTCCAGTCCGGTCCGGTCCGTCCGGCGCGGCTTGGAGGCGGAAGTCGCCGCGCGGTGACGTGGGGGAGCGGCGGCGGCGGCACGCGCCGGGCGTTGGGGAGCGGCGCCCCCTACCGGGCGGCGGGAAAGGGGCCGCGTCCGCCGTGAGAAGGAGGTCGCGCCGGGATAACGCGGCGGCCGGCGAGGCCCCGCCCCCCCCTCCCCGCACCTGCCTCCGGGGCTGCCAGCGGGGCGGGGGGAGGTCGCTGCCGGCCCCGGGGGCTGCTCCGACCCGTCCCGTCCCATCCCGTCCCGTCCCCCACTCCTCCTCAGGGACGGGCTCGGGGCCCGCTGGGCGGGAGCGGAGGTACGGGACGCGGCGTTGGTGGCCCGGCCCGGCCCGGCCCGTCGTCCCCTTCCCCGGGCCGCTGTCGGTTCTGCTGAGGTTGTCGCGCTCTTTCTGTCCCCTGATCTCTAGGAGCTGCGCGGGGTAAAGCGGGGGGGATTACAATAGAATTCGGTTTATTTCTCCAGCCGGTGGCGATGCGAGGCCGGCGCAGAGGACCACCCCTGCTCCTGTTCGGGAAGCCTGCGTTGCCACCTGCAACTGAGGTCTCTTCGTCACGTTTCTGAGGCAAGCGCTTCTCCGGGAGTCCTTCAGCTAGCTGATCTTCTGGAAAAGCAAGATGGAAAGAGTTAATCGCTTCCCCTAATGCAGAGGTCAAAACCAAACTCATCCCTTATCGCTCTTACGCAGAAATTCCCTTCTAAAGCTTTTCTAACGTTTCAGCCTCAGATGTCGGCTGCTGTGCTTTTAACGCATTTTGGAACATCTCTGCAAATGTTTAAAATAATGCGGAGAAATTAATGACCCCTGTTTCCCTGACCGCTGTCTCTCAAATAACCACAGAACAATTGCAGTCTGTGCTTGCATGTGCTCTCCAGCTAGGGTCTGTCAGTTGTGTTTGTTGTGAGAGTCACGTTGCTTTAGGAATTTTTACGCCAGCATTTAGTAAATGGCAAAATAAAACAAGCTCACTTAAGAATACAAATGAACGTTGTTCACACACGCGCACACACACGTTTTGATTCTCTGTTGGGCAGACTTGGAATGAAAAGATTTTGAAAGAAAGTTTTCTTCGGTGAGTGTTGGATACTCATTGCAAGTGAGAAACTAGTTAAAATCCTGTTACTGTCTCTCATTTCCTGTTAGCTTGAGAGATAAAGACCGTGCTTCCAATATGGCCTTTATGTATCCCAGATTTTTTTATGCAAGTATACATTACAGTTTAAATTCATCAAAGCAAAGAAATGCAGGCTCTATATTTTCCACCCAAGTCTATAGGATTTACTTTGCTAAAGGTGCTGCAGTGCTTCTTTCAATCAGAATGGAGTATTATATTTTCATTTGCAAAGTATGGGTCATGCATTTCGTCTTTGTGCTCAACTTCTGCTGCTGTCTATGGGAAATGTGGGAGCTGATCAAGGACAGGATGCCCACATAAACTAATATACTAGAACAATTTGTTAAGCGTGACAGCCTACTGCTGGTGAAAACATCAGTTTCCAGCGTTTGCTCTTTTCTCTCATCTCATGAAAAAGCATGGAGCGAGGCATGAGCATTTAAAGAGAAATATGGAAATGAAGGGATGTCAGTCTGATGCTGCATGCCTTGATCCTGCTCAGATTTAAGCCAATGCAAATTTTGCTGTTAACTTCAAAGCAATAGCTGTGACATCATTCATTGATCATGAGAGTTACTTCATATATAATCAAATAATCACATCAAGGGCTCAATCCTGCAAGCTGCTAAAAAACTGTTGCACATTGAAGCCTTTCTGTTTGGAGAAATATGTTCAAAGAGGCTTGTACAAAGTATAGAAAAATGTGTGGAGTGATCAATGCTGTTAGAAACCTCAGTGCCCATATGGGAAGGAAAAAAACCCAAACCACTCTTGATGACTGTGGTGGAGAGGAGGCATTGCCTGGTGTTGAAATGTCATCCAGTGCATTCAAATAACATGCACAATAGCCACTTGAAAGATTTTCATTTCCTTCTAATGCCAACCAGTTGGAGCAGTTTTCTCAAGAGCTCTTGACAGTGGAGCTGAAAAAACGGAGAGCAGGGCTAGCCATGAATTTCAGCCAGGAACGTGGCAATTTGGGCGGCAATGCTAATAAAGCAGAAAGGCGGTCACAAATTCTGAAATAGATCCTGCTGGACAGAGCCCCAAATTATAAGGTAAAATTCTGGCTCTGCTGACATGGGTGGGAAGCCTTTGTTGACTTCTGTGAAACAAGATTTTGCTGCTGTAGTCGTTGGCTTCTCATTTAAATGTGTGGCATGTGTACACTTAACACATTTTTTTTCTCCAGGTTGCTAAAATATAAGGCTTCATGTATTAGAGTAATAATTTCAAACAATTAATGGTGAAATTAAAAGGGATAAAATATCCATACTTTTGTTTTTGCTCATCTCATTTCAGATTCGTATAATCCATAGATGTCAATGGGGAAAAAGACATCAAATAAAAAAAGAAACAAAATGTCTGCCACATCCACTTTGGCTGAGGCATTGCATTAGATAGTATTTCAGTACTGAACTTGCAAATATGTGAAATATGAGATTATGATAACAAATATTGAGCCATATTCTTGATTATGTTTTTTTAAAGGTTAACAGTTTCATACTGAATGAAAAGCAAACAAACACTGGTGAATTAAGAAGTTAAAACTGCATTCTCTGTGCATGCCCACTGTGATAATACTTCCTTACATGACTATGCAATAAAACCCCTTTCCAGTATACACATCAGAAAAAGGAAGAGCCTTCCATAAAAGTACAAGTTGCACAGAAAATGGAAAAATTATGTGGAACTGTATTTTGTGTGAGAGAAAACAGTGGTCTGTCATTGTTAAATTAGGATTTGTTATAGTTCACCTAACTATAATTTCAGTTTAAAAGATAATTTTTAATACTTTCACTTTTGTTTCACTGCAGGTCTTATTTTGTTCCGCCACTGATTAGCTGTAGTCCTGAGATCCCGAGGGCCAAATTTATGGTCGACTGTGTTACGGTAGCTAGCCTGAACTCAGCTTAGCATCTCACCCGCTGGGTCTTTTCCATCATGCAGTTTCTCCATGGGCTGAGAACTAAATTCTGCGTCATGTTTCAAATTATTCCAGAGGCTTAGACCTGTTGCTAATCTTCTGCTTCACGCTTGCATCTGTTGAATGGAGCTGCAGGTTTAGAAGCTGGGTTGTCATGTTGCTGGCCATTTCCCAGTTTCTGGAAGTTAGACATGCACCGTTTCACAGACTTTTTGAAAACGGATCATCCCTTTGGCTCATTTGTGTAAATGCTTAGTTGCCTTAATGTTGTGCCCTGTGCTGCCAACTTTTCAGTTCCTCTGGAAGAGGGGTGTTGCAAAGTTGCTGTAATTACTGGCTGCAGGAGTAAACCCTTCCCCATCATAGAGAAAACTGTGCTATCACCAGCAAATATAACCAGTTAAAATTTCCTTCAAGAGGTTAAATGTTTGCAGTCAATAATTATAGCTGCTTCTCACTCTCTCAACTTAGAAGAAGTGCATTTGCCAACATTTAATGCTGCTTTTTCTTCCATTTCAAGATTCTCTGTAAACTTGTTAGGAAACTTTGCTCTGCTGTGTAATCCAGCCACTAGAGCAAGATTCCTCCTGTTACGAGCTTTCATTTTTGACAAATCCTGGGAAAATTATTGTGCAAAGATAGATACAAACATGGCTGCTTTGACCAACTGTAGCACATTTGAACTAGCCTAATGATCCTGTCCCATGCCTACTGCTGGTCCTTCTTTGCCAGTGAAAATTCTCAGTGCTTGGCATCGGGCGACACACCTATGACTCCTACTCCACATGGGGACTGGAGAAACAACTTGGGTCGCTCTCACCACAAAGTCGTTTGAACTGGAAACCCTCATCTGCCATGAATATTCTCCTTTGTATATAGAAAGTTTTATAATAAATTTTTCTCTTTGTGTGAAGACACACCCTGTATCTTCAGTTCAGAAAAAAACTAAGGTAAATATTTTTATAAAAAATTCTTAGTAGCTTAGAAAAGATTAAACTCAGAAAACTCAGCAAAGAAAAATTAAGTGTTCTGATTTATTCAAATTTTTCAGATCAGTAAAACCTCTCGTTAATCCTGACAACATATCTGCTTAACACTGGCAAGAATATTAGCTTTGCATTTCAGTTTTTCTCTTGGTTATTTTTAGTTCTTCTGAAGCCTGGGAAATAAGAAATATAACCGCTTTGAACAGTCTGAAAGAGCCAACTCTAGCAGGGCCTCTGAATCTGATTAGATAAAACAACAAAGAGGTTCTGTTAGGGCAGAGGCAGGAAGAACTAAGGTGGGTGGCAATATCTGTCATAACTCAGGGGAAATGTAGCCTCAAAGCACTCAAAAGTGGGTGAAAAAAATAACATAAGCAATAGACAACTTTCCCACATCTTGGGTCACTCTCCAAATGCAGTTTGAAGAATTTTCTCTGCACTCAACTTTTTTTTTTTAAATTTTTTTTATTTTTAAACTACAATAAACAGCACATGCATGTGTGTTTATCTTAAAAAGCTAATTTAGGGGAACATCGTTTCTCTGCAGAGAAATATCCGAAAAAGCGCAGTATGGCAAGTGCGATTACATTTGTCAGTACAGAAACAGCATAAGATCTCAAGTGATAGATTTGGAATTTTCAACATTTTCCTCTGAAAGTAAGCTAGCTTTAGGATTGCCACAGGAGATTTCTCCCTAAAATACAGCGAGTCATAACATCACCTTTTACCCTACTGGCCAAAAAAGGATGTAACTGTTCTGTTTAGTGCAACTGGGAGGTCTTCAGGTTTTTGGGGGGTTGATTTAAAAATGATCTTTTATTGGAG